GAACCTGTGCCAGTTCAAAAACAGCCCATGTGCAGCAACACTTGGAGCACTGCAAGGGCAAATATTTAAATCTCTCCTTTCTTGAGCCATAAGCCACAATTGAAAACATTAAAAGAATGCTGCACATATCTAGCTTTGCGCTCCTGTAAAACGATTTCAAAATCAGAAAGATCCAAATCGATGCAGCAGAACCAGAGACATTGTCTTTTTTATCCCCACGTATTCTTCTTCCTTGTCAAAGCACCGCACCTACATCACCCACTTTGTGTAACTTCCTCTGGAGCCGCAAAAGACTTCATACAACATTTTTTTCACATAGTGCTCCCCAAGACCTGTAAACAAACTTTGATGTGTAAAATCAGCTCAGTTCCACCTTAAGTTTGAAATGGCCGTGTCAGCGTGAGCGTCACATTAGCTTTAAAAAAATCTCTTTCATGGACACGGTGAAAAAAATCTATAGGGCCAAAGGAAATGGTGTGCTGTATGTCCTATTAAATCACAACATTTTACATATTTGCATACTATATTGACCTGCTTTTTGACTTTATATATATTGATATGAAAGAATTACTTAATATCGAACACTGAAATTAAAAAAGGAGTTGCCTGTGTTAAACATCATATCTCTAAAGCTCAGTGCCCTCGTGAAAAACACAGTGGTGCTGTATTTATGCTACTCTTGCTCTGAAGCAACTTAATAATGCTGCTGTTGTATGAATATAATTTAATTAATATGATTATTCCCCTTATTTGTAAGAGCAGTAAGTGTTGATTATGATAGTTTTATAGAATGAAACTGATCGTTGATTTCGTAAGTTTTTACTTCTTTAGATATTATTACACAGCCACTGATGAAACATCTTCAACATCTGGCATTTCAGCAAGAAAATAAGGAGAACTGATGCTTATAGTATGATTGGATTTAGTTGGATTATACACACAAACCACATCATATTGTGATGTAGAGTTTTTTCATTAAGACCAATGCATCAACAAAGGGTCATGTTCGCAGTGTGAACCATTAATCCTCTTTGAATACATGCAAAATATTTCTGTCTTTGCCTAATAGAATATACAAATAAATACTTGCTTTAAATGAATAGTTCATAGAAAAGTGGCTCTCAGCTTTCAACAAAATGTGTGCTTTAGTTCTGGAAGTGTCTGTCGCAGTTTTATCATTTCTTAGTGGTATATTACATTTAATTTGATTTAAATTAAAGTTGTCTTTCTAGGATGTAATGATTGACCATAATGTGTACAGTAAAGGCAAGACATGTCTTAAAATACCAAAATGTTTATTATGTCGTCAAAAAAGAGGAACGCATACAAAAGTCGTTGCTGTGGCTTCTGTCCTGGTCATTTTTAACATTTACAAACTGACATGCAGTGTACACGGTTCACATGTTTAGATACCCTGGTGTTCACTTCATTGTTGTTTTAGTCTTGTATTTCAAGTTTCTCCGTCTGACATTGCCATGCAGGGCCGGGCAAAATATAGAAAACACCCACTAATATATCAAGGAGAGTAATGAGAAGAAAGGCCACCTGTGCATTCAGAAGAGCTTTTATCCATCTTGAAGGCGTAGCTGAGAGTAGGTTCAAATATGTTCAGACCTGGGAGGTGTCCATAGTGCCCATGACACCACTATTAAACTTACTTAGTGGTTTGGGGATGTAATCATCCTGAAATGTGGAAACATGTATTTGTACCACAGGGTGCACCTGGGCCTGTAAAATGGTCTCATGCTGGTAGGCCATAATGTATCTATAGAGAGCGATCAACAGACCTAATGAATCCCATTTCATAGCCATACTCATACCATTATAGGTCCTTCATGTTAGTTGCATATTTGAGCATGGGCCGTGGATATGAGCAGTTTGGATATGAATGGAAGCCTTTTTATAAATATCAGCTCTGTAAACTCATGCACAGTTCTCGTACAGAGTGAATCAGAGAGGTGCTGATTCACTTCCTATTAAGTTTACAGTTCTTTAAAGGTGCTGTGTATGGCGTTCAGAGCATTAATATAGCAGCAAACCACTATTTGATATGTAAAGATGTAGGCTAGTGGAGTAATGGAGTCCATAGTGGCCAAACATGGAATTACAACTTCTAACATTATGCCATGGGGCCCAGAAAGACTTCTTTCATGGACTTACATTGTTAAATGTCCCTAAGTCAATGGAAACATTTTTTTTTGTGTTGCAATCTCAGTGAAATGACTCATTTTACTATCAGGATTTGATCCATTTGGTCTGGAAGCATTTGTTTTTTGTTATTTAATTTTTTTTGTTGAAGTTTTTCTATTTTAAGAACATCAACACAAAAAAACAAATACATAAACACAAACAGCACAGACTAAACAAAAGCACAGCATCATCTCGGCAGTGTTGAGAACATTAATGATTCAAAAGTCCATCAGCACAGCACCAGTCCTTACAGGAGTCATCAGGTGACCTATCAAGCCTGGGAACAAACAAACAGACAAAAAGGTCCCAATGGCACAGCCAAAGCAAAAGAAGCAAGAACCCACTCCCTTCATCTGTATGTTACAATTGTAGTCCATTGAAAAATAAGTATTCATAATAATACTTAAGCATGGAGCGCGCATCCAAAAGCAGATAAGTTCAGTACAGTGTCCAGCTCCTATGACATGTTTAGTCCTTTTATAAGACAAAAACTGGTTCCAGACAAGCAAATGTGATTGTCTATGGTTATGTGATAGCATTTCTTAAGTCTAGAAGACCTGCATGATTAAATCATTAAATTTTATCCCCATTCAAATCAACCTAAAGTTGGTCGCTTGGCCACTGGAAGTATCTAGTGCACTTGCTCTATGGGCCCCATGATGTGGAAGTTCAGGGTAATTTCATACAGCGGAAATCAAGCTTTTTTGGCTTTATGTGCCACTGAGCAACTTTAATAGGAATGAACGGGTCACTGCCACCAGCGCTGTATCCAGTTAACCTTACACAGACATGGTCCTGAGCAGAGAATGAAGTCACGCTCCCTCTGTGTTTGTTGTAATATGAGCTTCTCTGTTTTTTGTTGTGGTAGTCCTTGTGAGTCCACTGGTAATGCCCACCCTCAGGTCCTCCCCCCACAATACCACGTTTAGCTGTGTCAGCACTGTCAGCGTTGTTAGCACTGTGCAGTTAGCACCATTTGCTGCTTACTGCTGAATTAGCCACCTCCATGTTGAGAGCCATATGCAGACAATCCTGGCTCAGACTCTGAATTATAGATATGTTCTGAATGTCACATATAGTGCCTTTTTTGATTTCTTGACACATACATTTACAGCAGAAATGCAACAGTAATACGATTCACTCACAATATTATTACTGCATTTACAAGTTAAACTCATGCGGTGTTGGGGTCACTGTCTAAAAAAACCCATCTCTAATACAACATGTTTGATTTTTGTCTTCCAAAATAATGGCGTGCACCACAGTATGAACCTTTTTTCAAACATGTGCATGTCTCACAGAAATTAGTAACTTTGTGCTTTTTAAGTGTGAGAAAATCCTCTATTGATTAGGTTTTCATTTGAGAGCCAAGGTTGTAAACTCTGCTCTTTAACTACCCACCTCAGATCCAGTGTGAGCTACAAATGCTATGTGTGATATATTATGCGGTTTTGCGAGACCAAATGACAATTGATTAGAAAGCAATGATGAAAGAGCTGTGAAATGATGGCCACATCATCAGCTTCCATTTCTCTGGCCAAGTCCAAACTGCAGAGAACCCCAAAGACATAAAGCCTTCATCTCTCCGTTGATTCATTCAATCTTATTTCAGAGCAGTTGATACAATCTGATGGAATAGTCTGCTCTAAATACTGAGCTGTGGAGCTGCTCTCCAGCTGTTGCTTATCCCAAGGTAATAAAAATGGGACAAATCAGCCCATAATCCCTCCTCAGTCCCTCCATTGTTCTTAGAATGATGCTATGCTAAAAAATGGGACCTTCTTAGTATTCTGAGTAACATCAGCATCTGCTGAATTCTGCTCTTTGTCATGTTTGGTTAGGCTTTCCATCAGAGTTTGTGGACAGCTGCAGTCGTTATAGAGATTGAAAATAATCCCTTTTATATGAATTTGGTGCGCTTTATGTGTGTGGTTTTGTCTTCATAATAAGACAACAGGAATTTGTGTTAGTTTTGCATAAATAAACAAACGTGCCTTCTTTGAATATATTACTTTTTGCATTTACAAATCTCTCGTCGTTTTAATTTTGCTTGATTTGTTTGTTTGGGATGTATTTCAGTGACGTGATCTCAAAATGGATTTTTGATTTTATTAAAATGTTGGCAAACTTAGGCTTTTATTTTATTCATCACTCCCACATATTGTTCAACATCAAAGCAATCATAGCAACATAAACACACAATATGTTGTGCCTTAATTTGTATTAATTCACATTAGTTTTCAGTCCAAACATCATGTTTCCCTCCAGTGTCAAATTTTCAGCATGCTTCATTCTGTTGCAAATTCCTGCAAATGCAACTTGAAGAGGCTCTATAATGCTAGCAGATGAGACTCTTCTGACAAAGGATATCTTAACACATAATCATGATCATTTTAAAGCGTTATATCTTTTGCTGTCTATTGTCTTATTTGTTCCGTAGAAACCGTGCGTCATCCATCCTGCATTTGATTATTCTTGGTTCACAGAAGGAATTGACATTGGTAATCATGGTAGATCATCACCAAGCTCATTCTTATTGAAGGGCATGCTCACTACATTGAATATTGAAGCATTACAGGATAATGTTATTCACGCTCTGTAATAGCTCTGTACATACGAGTCTCCATGCTATAGTAAATACCCCTTAACTTGCTCTGTGAATGGCTCCTATGAATATTTAAACATGATTCTCATAAATCACTTTTATTTTCAATCACACTCACTTAATTAGACACGTGTTCCGACGTGGACTCATTGGGAAAATGCTGCATGTCCTCATGTGTTTTTTTTCTCTTTCTTTTTCTTTGCAGGTTTCCCTGATTTTCCAGGGAGTGCTCCCTCTTTTCAGTGATGGAGGTATTGCAGTGTGACGGCTGTGACTTCCGTGCCGAGTCATATGATGACTTGAAGACCCACATTCAGGAAGTGCACACAGCTTTCCTGCAGCCTGCAGATGCAGATGAGTCTGACTCTCTGAAGGAGGAGGATGAGGATGAGGAGGAGGAGGAGGAATATGACGACAAGGATGACAAGGATTACACGCCTCCTAAAGCTGGAATGAGTATGTCGACCAAAATAAATCAGATGTTACAGTTAATTTGTTGAGGATCAGGAAACACTTCTTTTTTTGTTTCAAATAACTCTTCATAGTAGGATGATTATACATTTTATTGGGGAACATAACATTTATGAGTTGGTGCTGGTTTTATTGACTGAAAAAAAAAAGTTTTAATACTTGCAAAATGTTACACATTTACTGTCTTCCAGCTCACATGCTTTCTTGTTTTTTTTTAGGCCCCAACTCTGCTGACAATTCCAGCCAAACACCACAAAAGCAGACAGATGAAACCCACCTGCCGTTTTACCAGTGCAAGTTCTGTGTCCGTTACTTCAGATCGAAGTCATTCTTGAGAAACCACACCAAAAAAGTGCATAACGTCATTGAGGAAGATTCAGATGCAAGCATCTCCTCGCAGACAGCGAAGCAGCCCAGCTACACCGTTATAATGCACAATGACCATTCAAAAGTCTACTCCTGTCAGTATTGCACATACAAGTCTCCACGCAAAGCAAGGATAATGAAACACCAACTAATGTATCATAACAAGGGTCCCTCAGACGGCACTGGAGATCCTTCAGAATACGCAGAGACCGGAGAGCAATCGGGCTCAGCCAGTGGACTCATGAAGGGAACATTTGCCTGCGAGTGGTGTGACTATCAGACTGACCAGAAGGACAGCTGGACTAATCACGTGGTGAAGGAACACAGTGACAAGGTCAAGATAGTTTCCTGCATTGCAGAGCTGGAAGGGGAGGCAAGTGCAAGCTCACCCAATATAGATTCTCCCTCCGCCTCCCAAAGCCCAACTAGATCAAAGACGACTTTCACTGAGGTTCAAGGGAAGGAAGAGCCAGTAGGAAAAACAGCAGAAAACACGTCGGAGAAGTCAATCCCAGAGCTCTCATCCTTTCAGTATGCACAGATGAGTGCAGTCACACCCAACAGCACAGGTACCTCCATTTTGTCCAAGAGGTTCACTTCATCTGACGTCTCCAAGAGCGTCGTAGATATGGACGCCAAGCTACTCAATGAGGAGGACTCTAGGAGCAGCTTAGAGGATGATGATGAAGAAGAGTTGGGCGATATAGATGATCCCAGCTATACTGGGACACTGTCAGCAGATGCAAAGCAGCTTTTAACTGATGAGGATAATAAATTACTGGAGACTAAAGGAATACCGTTCAGAAAGTACATGAACCGTTTTCAGTGCCCGTTCTGCTCCTTTCTCACCATGCACAGGCGGAGCATCTCCCGCCACATTGAAAACATTCACCTCTCTGGTAAAACCACAGTGTATAAATGTGATGAATGCCCATTTATTTGCACCAGCCCTCTTAAACTAGGCACGCACAAACAGAGCCACATATCCTCAGATTTAGACACCCTGGACCTAACAAGCGATAGTCCAGATCCTCACAGTGACAATGCTGCAGAGCCAGTGAATGGGGGTAGTGTAAGTTCCAAAGTCAATGGAAAAAAGACAACCAGCACACCGAACGACCAGCAGAACCCTCATCGCTGCACGCTCTGCAGCTTCTCTACCACCACTCTGAAAGGTCTGAGGGTTCACCAGCAGCATAAGCATTCCTACTGTGATGACCTAGATCCCACTGTCTTTGAAAGCCAGCTGACTGACCAGCCGGATTCTGAAGTGGACACTTCTCCAATCTTTCTACAAAAAACCCAGACCTCCATTTTAGGACTTGCCACCAAAAAGCCCTCAGTAACAGGGAAAAGAGCCAGGAAGTCCATTAACGACTTACCTTTGGATTTGTCCTCGGTTAAGAAGAGAACTAGAATTGATGAAATTGCCAGTAACCTTCAAAGTAAGATAAGCCAAAGCCAACAGGATATGATCATAAACCTAGATGACATGGATGATGAAGATGCAGGAGAAAATCATGCCAGTGCTGATACAGAGGGTAGAAACCATGACAATAAAAACCCTGTCTTTACTTATAATACACAACAGCTTCATGCGAGAGAATCAGTGATCTCTCACGAGGGAGGCAGAATAGGGAAAAGAAAAAGCAACCCTAAGTCAAAACCTAGAAACATTCCTATATCCCTGACTCTCTCAGATGACAGTGAAAACATCTCTGCTGACCCCAGTGAAAATGCTGTCCAAGAGAACGCAGATTATTCAGAGGAGCCAGGAACTACACGTTTTTACTGTAAACACTGTGATTACCACAACAAGTCAGCTCGTAGCGTCAGCACCCATTACCAGAGGATGCACCCTTACATCAAGTTCAGCTTTAAGTACATCCTGGACCCAGAGGACCAGAGTGCAGTCTTCCGCTGCTTAGAGTGCTACATCGAATACACAAATTATAATGATCTACACCAACACTACATGGATCATCACCCTGAAGCAAGCAATGTGCTCAACTTTAACCAACCGAATCTGGTTTACATGTGCCGCTTTTGTTCGTACACGAGCCCCAACGTCAGGAGCCTGATGCCCCATTACCAGAGAATGCATCCTACAGTGAAAATCAACAATGCGATGATCTTCTCCAGCTATGTGGTTGAGCAGTCCCACAAATCGGGGGAGTCGCAGACCCTGAGGGAAATATTAAACTCTGGCCCCAAGAATTTGAACTCAGCCACATCAACCCCCAGGTCCTCCTCCAGCCCAGTGCTGAAACCGGTCTCCAAGACCCCTGAAGCCAGCTCTGAGACAGACTCTCTCAAAGAATCCATGGGTGGCAATGTTGTCGTCTATGATTGTGATGTGTGTTCTTTTGCTAGTCCCAACATGCACTCTGTTTTGGTCCACTATCAGAAGAAACACCCAGAGCAAAAGGCGTCTTATTTCCGTATACAGAAAACCATGAAGGTCATCTCTATGGATCAGTCGCAGCCTGTTGCAAACTCCTCATTCAACCTTAGCATGGCAACTCCTCCAAAACAACCAAGCGCGGCACTGTATGGATCAGATGAAGAAATGTACTACTGTAAACATTGTGTGTACAGCAACAGATCTGTTGTTGGTGTGTTGGTCCATTATCAAAAGAGACACCCAGAGGTAAAAGTGACAGCAAAATATATCAAACATGGTGCCCCCACCCCTGGTTTGATGAAATTAATGGATGAATTACAAATTGCAGCTCCGAAACAGTTCTTGAAGCAGTTTCAAAATAACGGTCACGATGGATCTAACAGCACGAGCCCTAAACCAGGCAGTGGTGAGAAAGGTGAGGATGAGCTGTTCTTCTGTCAGCACTGTGATTATGGCAACCGCACTGTAAAAGGAGTGCTCATTCATTACCAGAAGAAGCACAGGGAAACCAAGGCCAACGCTGACCTTGTGCGCCGTCACACTGCAGTTGTCCGGAGCCAGCGTGAGCGTGCACAGATGGTTCAGTTGAGTAGCGTCTCTTCTGCCTTGACCCCGGCCCCTCCAGACCCTGAAAACACTACACCCCTGCGCTCCCTGAAGTGCAAACACTGTTCCTACACATCCCCCTACGTCTATGCCCTAAAGAAGCATTTGAAGAAAGAGCACCCAACTGTGAAAGCCACAGCCATGACCATTTTACACTGGGCTTACCAAGATGGCATTTTGGAGGCTGGCTACCACTGTGAGTGGTGCATTTACTCCCACGCTGAACCCCAGGGCCTGCTGCTCCATTACCAAAGACGCCATCCTGAGCACAATGTGGATTACACATACATGGCCAGCAAACTGTGGGCTGGTCCAGAGACCACCCAACAAGGGGGCAATATGGAAACGAAACATTACAAATGCAGAGACTGTGCCTTTGAGGCCTGCACAATATGGGACATCACTAGTCACTATCAGGCAGTCCACCCTTGGGCCATTAAAGGGGATGAATCTGTGCTTTTGGATATAATCAAAGGAAATGGCTCAGCTGAAAAGATCCAACAGCAGGTTGCCAAAGAACACGTGTCTTTGAATTGCCAGTCTGTCGAAGATGATGGAGCGCTGGTCATTGTCACCCCACCTCAAGAGAGCAATCCCCATCCTACCCACCCACGTCTTTCCATCTCTAACAACCCTTATCAGTGCACTGTATGTCTGTCGGAGTACAACAGCCTCCATGGCCTCCTCACTCACTATGGAAAGAAACACCCGGGCATGAAAGTAAAAGCTGCAGATTTTGCACAGGAGGCAGACATCAACCCCAGTTCTGTGTATAAATGTCGTCACTGTCCATATGTAAACTCCCGAATCCACGGCGTCCTGACTCACTATCAGAAGAGACACCCATTAGTGAAAGTCACTGCAGAAGACTTTGCAGATGATATAGAGCATATCACCGACATAAACGAAACAGACGACAAGTGCAAAACTCAAAGGCAAGGCTATGGCGCATACAGATGTAAAATGTGCCCGTACACGCACGGGACACTGGAGAAACTCAAAATCCATTATGAGAAGTATCACAATCAGTCGGCCTCTGACATGTTCGCCCCCTCTCTGACACACTTCTCTCCCGCTAAAGACACAGAGCCAGTAGCCGAATGCAGCGCTGGTAATATATCAAGTGCAGCAAAAGTCCAGGAGGTCAGTGAATTGGACCTTGCCCTCTCACAGTTACCCATCAATAAGGCAGAGAAACATGCTATATTCAAGTGTCAGCTCTGCAAATACTTCTGCTCCACAAGGAAAGGCATCGCTCGTCACTACCGTATCAAGCACAACAACGTCCGTGCTCAGCCAGAGGGTAAAAACAATGTCTTCAAGTGTGCTCTGTGTTCATACACGAACCCTATACGCAAAGGTCTGGCAGCACATTACCAGAAGCGGCATGATATTGACGCCTATTACACCCATTGTCTGGCTGCTTCCAAGACAATGACCGAAAAGCCTAGCAAAGTGATAGCACAACCGCCGTCAGAAGGGGACAGTTCAGAAATGAGCGAAGACTTGCGCTTGGCAGTGGAGAGACGAAGGTGCTCTCTTTGCGCCTTCCAGGCCTTCAGCAGGAAGAGCATTGTCTCACACTACATTAAACGCCACCCAGGTGTCTTCCCCAAGAAGCAGCACGCTAGCAAGCTTGGTCGCTACTTTACCGTTATCTATGCCAAAGAACCCGAGAAGATAGCAGTCAGCGCACTGGCAGAGGATGACAAGGATGTACTGGAGGTTCAGCTTGAATCCGAGGAGGACAGAGAGGTTGAGTGGCTGCCGTTCAAGTGTCTGAAATGCTTCCGGTTGTCCTTCAGCACAGGCGCGCTGCTCTCTATGCACTACAACGACCACCACAGCAATGACTTGAAGAGGGACTTTGTGGTGTCGCCTGGTCCCGGGGATGAGGAGTCCGAGATGTACCAGTGTTCTCACTGTGAGCTGAAGTTCCTTGCTCTCCCAGTTCTGGCGAAACATTTATTCAACCACAATGAGGAGTTCCAGAAGAGGGCCATGAGGCAGGAGAGGAGGAGGCAGCTGCTCAGCAAACAGAAAGCCTCAGAACTACCTGAGACCAAACCTGAGAAGGTGAGCGGAGATACGAGTCTCCCTTAAAGCTTGTAAATGAAAGAATAAAACCTGCATAATTTAATTTTCCTCTTACCATTAATATCTGAGAGCATACAATAAATCTTCTGATGCTGTAAGCTACTACTATCATCATATCATACTACAGCTGTTTCTATACTCCTTGGAGTCATGGACTCTCATGGTTTTGGAAAACAGCTTATAGAGATATAATTTATCACTGAGCGTATTGTTAATTTATCATAACATGACTTTATAAACCCACAATCATTGCAGTTGTACCCAAAGTAGTCATATTCTGCCAAAACGGCATTAAAGAGATAATTATGTGTCTTAAATTGCCCCTTTACTGTCACCAGGAATATATAACAGTGATAATGAGGTGTGATAATTAGTTCCATAATAAGTTCATTAAAAATACAATTGATCTCATTAAATGTATGTTTGAGAACAGTGGAGTCTTTAACTTCATGGGAAAAAGGTAAATCTCAAAGAGAAGATGTAGGAGTATCATCTCACAGCACATACATCAGCTGGTTTAGATTACACACTCCTATTGTCCTTGAAAAGTTAAAATAATATAATTTATAATAAATGTGTTATCACAAATATTTTCCAAATGCATTTAAAAAAACCAATAACAGCAAATAAATAGTTTTTTTCCTTTTTTTGCTCTGTGAACAGGAAAGTCCTGTAAATAAAGCTCCCATAGGATTCAGGTGTAACTTCTGCATAGAAATGCACCCCACCCTCCGAGCCATCTGCAACCACCTTAGGAAGCACGTCCAGTATGGAGAGGTCAAAGAGGGACACGTCAAGGTAAATGGAGTTGGATTTATTTCCAAAATCTTTTTAATGCTGTTACATATGTCTTATTTTACCTCTGATTTGTTACATTAAAGATGTACTGTGCAGGATTTTTCGAAAAACCAGAACTCATACAGAAGTATTCCCCCTCAGTCATCACTTGTGATGCACTAGAGGTGTGTGGCAGTGTATTTTTCCGCAGAGACTCTGCTCTTTGCCTGTATTTCCTTAATTCCGACTCTTTTTCTATGCTCGGGATGTTTGTGAGTGTGTAGCCCCACAGTACCCAAGTAAGGTCGGGGCTTTATAAAAAGGTAGCCACCAGGTGTCAGAGCATAAGCAGCAGGCAAAACGCAGAATGAGAGTGATTCTGGAGTTGGCTTTTACTTAAACTTTCACTGGCAATTATATTTGCAAAGACAATCCTGCATAGTATATCTTTAAGTCTGAACTATTTTCATATTAAATACACACATGTCAATGTTAAAACTTGGTATTTTGGGATATGTACTTTCTTACCAGGGGTTTGATTCATCTCATAAATATAAAGCCACAGCCAGCAGGCTGTTAGCTTAGCTTAGCATTAAGACTGAAAACATGGGAAAACTAGTAATCTTTAGAGCCAAACTAACTGTTTTGCCCTATGCTACGCTAGCCGTAGCTTCATATCAGGTGTACAGATTTAAAAGTGGTGTCAATCTCGGCATAAAGACGAATAAACATGTTCCCCAAAATGTCAACAAATTGTGCAGCTACGACTTCCGAGATCACGCAAATGTATAATATGCATTGTTAGTTGATATCCGCATTATATTTTGTTTAACCATATACGTGAGAGACTAACTTTGGCTGTCCCCGGTGTTTCTGTCTCGTAAACTCCTCGTCCTCCTGGCTCTGCAGTGATCTGTTTTACTGGACTTGGGTTCTGTTTCCCATTTTGTTTATTACTGACGGTGGCTTCTGGGTAGACAGTCTGTCAGCTTCCCCTAGAGAAAACAAGCAACGCTGTCCCATTGCAGTGGAGGGGGGGAAGCAGAGGACAGAGTGGTGAGCCATAACTTTTAGGGCAGCGGTGGGTAACCATTCGAACATTAGTATTCCACTGAGGCTGCCAGTAAGGGGAACAGGCCTAAGGATCCAACGCCTTACCCATAAGGAGGCCTGGTTCTTCTGTCAGACACCCAGTCTGTCTTGTATGTATTTAAGATTTACTATATTCACTTTGGCAAATAAGGTCTACTGCAAAAAAATGAGTGTGTCTTGCGTTGGCAGAAAATGTTAGCCTGTGAAGCTGATGGCACGTGCCAGGGTTATGGGTTAACTGCGTGCATTCATTTCCCACAGCATCCCTACCAGATGGAATATACTGCATGTTTTACACATTGCAGAAGGTATAAATGAAAGATGCTTCTCTATAGTATCATGAATACAGTCCCAACTCTAGAACTGCAATGGTTTCTGATCCAGTTGGATGAGGAACAGGCTGACGGTGCAGTCAGGGCAGACTCGATGGCAAGGTTGGGCCTGTGGATGCCACATCTTATTTATGGCTGCATGAAGTGCAGGGTCAGGTCCTTCCACAGAAAGAATGAGCTTCCTCGGGGCATTAAAAAAGTCATGGTGATTGTCTGTCCACTTGTGACGACTACAGAAACCAGACTGCACTCCAGCAGATGAAGCAAGAGAAAATAGACAGAGTTTTTTTTTGTGTGTGTTGTTGTTGGGAGATGTCCGAATGTGCAAGGTCTTCTTCTTATCTGTTCTGTTGCGTGACTAGTTTTGTATCCTTCTGTTTCTCTCCTGAGTGATTTAGCATCAGCAGCAGCTAGTAATGAAGTTTATTTATGGTTTGATATAAAGATGGAACCGTGGATGGATCACTGAACGGGCCTACTGGGCACAGCCCCAGGGCCAAAAGTGTCAGGGCCCCCCTGGCCTTCACCTGCAAATTGTCACTCAAACAAACACGTACGGGACAGGAGGAGACTCAAAGTGACCACAAAGAGACACAAAAAGACCACAAAGGGATGCAAAGAAACTGCAAAGAGACACAAAATAACGATAAAAACAGGGAGAACAACCAGAACACGGCACAAAGCCACTACAGATAGATAAAAAACAACCACAAGGAGACACAAAATGACTACAGAAAGACACAAAATGACTTCAGTAAGGTAGAAAATGACCTTAAAGACACACAAAACCATTACAAGATGCATAATGACTACGGAAAGATGCATAACCACCATCAAGTCTTGTGTCCTGTGTGTCTTGCTCCTGTGTCAGAGAGGTAGTGGGGCCATGAATAGGACTGGGTGGATATTTTGATTGACTTTGTGAAGGAGATTTTTTACTCTTATTCTATAGTTACATGGTTAAGAGAAGGGAATTATATGTAACAAAGCTGCTGGACAGAGTCGAGGGTTTGACTCGAATTTTCATGTGACATTCCATTTGGATAGTGCAATCAACTCAATTTCAACTAAGTATGGTGCGTCAGTAAATACCAGCACACTACAGAGTTTCAGGTCAGGGCTGGAGTTGGTCTAAGGTTACTGATGAGGATTGGCTCTGCAGGACTTGACCCAGTCATGTTTTTCAGTCATTTGTTGTTGGTGCAGAAACATTTCATTCACAGGCTCACACTGCAGCTTGAAGTATTTTGCTCAGGTGCTTTGGCTGTTTCAGGAAAATGTCTTGCATAGAAAGGCTGTCAGGTCAATGACACACCTACATGTTGATCTCCAGCACAAATGTATCCAATTGACAAAACAGAGGGTGAGTGAGAGAGCTGTAACTAACACTGATTGCGCCGATACAGCACAGACAGAACCAGAGGTGTTAGACAGATGCTTAACTGTTGCTTATGTGCTGTTAACATGATTTGCCTGATTTAGGAAAAACGTTTAGAGGTGCCAGACTCTAAGTGATACTTCAGTGAACAGCTATTTTTGTCATCTGGTAGCTGATTGAGTGTCAACATTGGACCATCCAAATAAATTGTCACCCTTAATCTCTCTCCCTTTATTGCAGCTCTGTGCATCTGCATAAAAAATGGCTGTGACAGACAGAATCAACAGAAAGGTTGCTGAAACATCTGAGACTTCTCCTCTTTGTTTTGCAGCAGGAAGTCAGCGACATCCCCCTGACCCTGCCTTCAGAGAGCCTGACTAATGGCGACCTCGAGGGGGATGAAGCAGCTGAAGGTGACAGCCTCGAGAGACCCGCAGCTACAATGATGGGTCCACCCTTGGTTTCCACAGTGTCTGGTGGTGGAGGTGGAGGTGGTGGTGGTGGTGGTGGTGTTGCCGTTGCCACGGAGACACTGGAACCAGAAACACATGCCGTTGAAGGAAGGGCAGCGGCTCTCGTGGCTGCAGCGAGGGCCGCGGTGTCAGAGGGCGAACTGAAGCAGAGATTAGCTGCAGGGGGTCACCCGTGCGCTCAGTGCGACCGAGTCTTCATGTCCATGCAGGGACTGAGGTCCCATGAGAGGAGCCACTCAGCCATGGCGCTGTTCAGCAGAGAAGACAAATACAGCTGCCAGTACTGCCAGTTCGTCTCACCTTTCAGACACAAGTAAGTAGGAAGGAGCCGAATCTGTGACTGACTCCTCTAACACTGTGAATAGGATGGTACTTCATAAGGAGTAAATAATAGTAAAGTGGGCAACTTTGTCCAAGGTAAACACATATTTACCTGAATGTTAGATTTTTACCAGTATTAATGTGTTGTAGTTCAGTCTTGATTGATCTGATGAAACCCTTGGTTACCGATGGTAACAGCAAGTGCAGTTGAACACTACAGCAAACACATAGAGGGTGATCTGCTGACCAAGAATTCTGGAAAAATTTGTTCTCTAGATTCAAATTTTATGAATAATCTCTAACCTTGGTCCTGTATCACCTTCACAATAAAAGCCACCCCATGGTTTGCCAGTTGACTGCTTTTAATGTGAAACAGCATCAGTAGGAAATACTTAGTGTGCATCAGCAGTAGCTTAACATAGCTGTAATATGGCTTTGGAAAAAGGAACAGGAAACAGTAAGGCTGATATTAATGAGATAAAATAACAAACAATGACTCTGGATTACATGCACGAATCATTTCCAAGGCAATTTAAATCCAGTGCAGTGATGGCGGACTCCGCCACAAACAACTTTAGTTTGAGGCAGTTATATAAGGGCTGCTAGATTATGGCAAAAATCATAATCATGATAACTATGGTCAATATAAGATCACAGTTTTTTAACATTATTACTCATTGACTTTGGAAACATGCATTTATTGATTTATTTTAAATTTTGTATTTTTAACAGTGTATTTTCTTGACTTTAAAGTATATTTAAACTAAAAAACAAAACAAAATAAATAACAGAAATTAAATAAAATCTATGAATATAAACCAAGAGGAGAGTGAGAGACCCTGCACTCTTGGCATAAGAGATGTATGCCGCAGTTACTCTGAGCAGCATGCATGGGAATAAATTACAGTATATTAGATTTAAATATACTTCCACTTTTTCTGTAATGGTCTGATTAAGTCACTAAATTTGTCGCTAGTCACTTTTTTAGAAAGAAAGTCACTAAAAGGGTCTGAAAAGTTGCTAAATCTAGCAAGAAAATTGCCAAATTGGCAACACTGAGTGCACCGCTGTAAAGGAAATGGGTGACTGGATTAATGACAAAAGACAAAGCAAGAGCGTCATTGTGAAATGGAATGTGGCATTATAATTATTTTATCTGGGATATATCATTTTCATAGTTGTTAGAAACCAATTCGTTTGATTCCTCAGTCTTAGAGTATAAACCTGCAGCTGTACATTCAATAGTACAGCCCTGGTAGCAGTATATTTTAAGCTCCCACCCGTACATTCTTCACCAGTCTTACACCAACTGTTGTGCAAATCAACTGGATGTTAAACTCACTTTGTACAGAACCCAATTTTACACCCTATTCTGTTTACCCTATCACAATCCCTTTGAATCCTCAATCTTCTGTAAGATTTCCCGCCTCCTAGGAGAGTAAGACAAACATTACAGCGAGACAGACATTTTGGTAGTGTGATTTGTTTTATCCATCACAGAGACACAGAGCGAGAGAGGAAGAGAGAGTCCTCATCTCCTCTGAGCTCCCAGGTGTAATCCCTCTGTACTGTATGTGCCCTGACCCAGAAAGAAGCCGCATTCCCATGCCACCTAGGAGGCTGGCATTAAAAACACAGCCACCGTCCCCACAGGCGCTCACACGCTCACTCCCACCGAGGGATTGTGGGTAGATGAGTTCACCCCACGGCTCCTTGTTCTGTAGTCATTGGCAATGTGCGGCTCTTGTTTGTGAGGTAAACAGAATCGAGCGCTTTAGATGCTGCAGAAAAAAACCCCGCTGTTGAAATCATCAAAGTGGATGCTGTTGAGTAGAGCTCTCTCTCTGTCTCTTGCTTTCCTGTACTCTATTCTTGTCACTTTCTCTCTTTATCTGCTATCCTTTTGTCCTCATTCCATCTATTTTTTTACTCTGTCTTTTATCCTCTTATCTCATATCCTCCCTTCTGTGTTTTTTTATTTGTATATTTTGTGTCATCGCCAGTCTGGACAGACATGTGCAGTCTCACCATGGGCACCACAAGCCCTTCAAGTGCAAACTCTGCCCCTTTAAATCTGCCTACGTGAGCCGCTTGAAGAGCCACCTGCACAAGGCACACACAGGTAAAAGCAGACACAATGCATACATTAAATCACATCTCACAGCTGTATCCATGACAAACAAGGTATTCCCGGGCCAGCATAGCAGCCTCCTGTTTAGCATCATCCACATAAAAGTGCTGTGCTTGATTTAGCTGATCCTGCACGGAGTAACCAGTGGATTAGCTGGAGGAGCAGCTCCGCCATCCACTGAGTACATTAGATACACCTCATTAAGCACATCCAAAAGAATCATGATTTTAGCACAAATAGCCCCAATGAATTTATTGTGAATTATGTTTATTTGGGAATATGTGGATGAAATCCTCAGCATGTTTCAAAGGTGAATGCCGACAGGTGTCTTCAGTTAGACGTGATTCATCTCCTGTAATCGTTTCTTTGTTGCTGAGTGAGCCAGACGGCAGACAAAGACACAGACATTCAAGCCAATGTAAAAAAAAAAACAAAAAAAAAACGCTCCACCTGAGAGATCAATACATGAGCAAAAGAAACAATCTTAAAACTAGCAAACCAGAAAGGCCAATTTTCAAAAGGCATTTGAGTGCTCTCAACTGTCTGATTGGAGAGACCAAGAAACAGCACCAAGAGTTAACAGCTGCTGTGGATAATTGACACAAAGCAATTTTGAGTTGCAGTTACATTCAAAAAGTGGAGTTTGGTGATTTTGCAGACTTTGTGAAAACAATCAGCGTTAAATCTTCATCACTGCGGCTCAGTTCTTCTCCTCCGTGTCCTCGCTTTCTGTCCAACGAGATATTTTGGATTGATGCATCCACATTCAGGAGCTAACATGTTCTCTCCCGAAATAGCACAATCAGGAAGTTGTTTCCTTATTAAAACCACTTCTGGTAAGAATATGTTACTGTCAGATCAGATTTGGCTCTAATGGCACCACTCCTCAGGATGCTGCTTGCATTAGGGTTGTTAAGCAAATATATTCAACAGCTACAGGAAGCAAGAGGCTATAAATCCCCCCATGGGTACATTCGAAACTCCACCATTGCTGCCAGAAACACACACAGTAGCCAAAGCAGCACCAGCACAGTCGTATACTGTGGCAGTATAAATCAAATAAATTGGTCAGTATATATGACTCTAATTCGTGAGTAAGAGAGTAGCTGTGGGCAGTATATGAGATGCTGTCCTTTTGTGAATGGCTCAGATACCGCTACAAAACTTCATTTAAAGGGACAGTTCACCCCCAAAGTAAATATACATATTTTTCCTCTTACCTATAGTGCTATTCATCAGTCTAGATTGTTTAAGTTTGAGTTTCAGAGTGTTGGAGATATCGGCTGTAGAGATGTCTGCTTTCTCTCAAATATAATGGAACTAGATGGGACTGTGGTGCTCGAAGTGCCAAAAAAAATACATATGAAAAACTCAACAGCAATGTCTCTTTCCAGAAATCATGGCCCGGTCACTCAAGATAATCCACAGACCTCGTTGTGAGCAGCTTCATGTAGGAACTATTTTCGTTCTACACCCACCAACTGTATCACTCCACAGACGGAAGCTTGGCTCTACTCACGGATGAGAGGCTCATGCTCACGACAGAACAAGATGTAAACATTAATGGTGTCCTCCTCGGCTGAGCTGTAACGTTAGCTAGCTCGGTGCTGCTAGGTGAGTTAGCAGTAGATGTGTGCTTTCTTCTGTGCGCTGATACAGTTGGGCGGTTGTAGGGTGGTAGAAAGAAAATAGTTCCTATGTGAAACTGCTCACAACAAAGTCTGTGGATTATCTTGAGTAACCAGGTCATGATTTCTGGAAAGAGACACTGCTTTTTCAAATGTATTTTTTGGCACTTTGAGCACCACAAGCTGAGTGCTGTCTTGTTCCATTATTTTGGAGAGAAGACAGACATCTCTACGGCCAATGTCTCCAACAAAACTTTCTAGACTGACTAACAGCACTACAGGTAAGAGGGGAAAATCTGTATATCTGATTTTGGGGTGAACTGTCCCTTTAAGGCAACAAGCTTCAAGCTAAGTATGGAAAAAAATCCTCAGTAACATTTTGCCTTCCCTTCAGAATTGCCTCCCTCTGTCAGTGTGAGACTGCGGTACATCCATGTTTACAATTAGAGCCGTTGTATCTTTGTAGAATTAATACAAAATCAAAGTTGTAACTTCCAAATTGCCTACAAGAAAAGTGTATGTTGAGGAGTTAGTTGTCATGTTTATTTGTGATGCATGAAGACATTTCTAATAAACACTGCAGCTCAACATTTTTTTCTATCAAAATTAGACTAATTAGTCCGAGAGGAGCACAAAGTGACATGTTTGTTCCAGATTGGAGGAGAATAGCTTTGTTTGTGGTGGAGGATGTGTTTATTATTACTCTGAATCGTATGCCATGCACTGCAAATCCTCATCAAATGCTGCCTTTATACAGTAAACTCCATACAACAGTCCAAGTTTTGACTCAAATCTCTTGATGTCCTCCAGGTGAGCAGCACACATACAAATGCTTGTCGTGCCCCTTCTCCTCCATGACCATCAGCCAGCTGAAGGAGCACTCTCTGAGAGACCACGGTGAGGCACTGACCCTCCCCAAACTCCGGGCTGCTACCCAGGCTGCTCATGGCGCCCTCAGGCCCTCACGGCTGGCCAGTAACACAGAGCAGACTCCCTTGGCCCCGGATGGTATGAGATCCTGCATAATTTATTTATTTCAATAGACATAGGATGATATGATAGGCCTGTCAGGCTGGATTTGGAAAATCTCAATTGAGCATCAAAGCACAATCTACTGCTATGCTGAATTCCTTAAAACTGAGGGTTTTTTTAGTGTTGGAGCTGTTTTATTTTATTTTATTTTATTTTATTTTATTTTATTTTGTGATTATTATGAACATGATTTTCTTTCAATCTATAAAACCGACTGATTTATGAAATATTTGACAATAGTGATATTAAAGAAGAATTTTAAATATATATTTTAAGAATAGAAAATAGTTTCCCACAACAGAGGAGATGCATTCAAATATTTGTTTAAATTGTCCAACTGTTTAAAACCCAGAGATTCAATTATCTATCATTATATGACAAAAGAAGGCATCAAATCCTCACATGTGAGAAGCTGGAGCCATTAAATGTTCAACATTTTTGTCCATCATCTGAATAGTTATAGATTCATTGCCTGTTTAATGACTGTATAATCTATATAATATAAATCCTGCCCTTGGAAATAAAATAAAGTAGCATTAGAAATGTAATCAAATAAAACTTAAGAGCTAATTCATTCACAATCTAAAGCTCAAAAGTAAAATTATTACTAAATATACATGTTCAAGTGGGCTTTTTATCTAAGGTGGTTTTATTTTTTATATATTGTTTATGCAACACATTTGAATACGGAAAAATACGGAAAATTAGCGGTTAGCATGACCAGTTCTGTGTCATATGAGTTTGACTGCTAAGGTTTGACGACCCAAACCTCCTTTAATGTCGATGATGGCACCTTTCTTTTCAGAATATTCCTTATCAAAGAGGCACCTGCGCCGTAGGTTGGTGCAGCAGCGATCTCCTAGATGTGATGCCAAGTTTTAGGTGTTTTAGTGGCTGTGCAGCCGCTGCTGTAGCTCGCAGACTGTTCTTGGCAGCAGCTGTCACCTTGCTGCTGGAGCTGTGGAATCTTTCCTGGAGCTGAAGCAGGGCAGCATTCCTCATTGCACCAACCACCACCGTCAGCTGTGCCCTACCAAGACAAGTGAAGCATTGAGAGAGAGCAGAGCTGACATATTGAATGTCTCTCCGCCGTGTCAAACGAGCTACCTTCAGTCGAATGTCTTGAATTCTGATATTTGAAGTGCAAAAGAGGGTTTGTTTTGAAAAGATTAAGATTTGATTGGCTGTGAAACTATGAATAAGATCCAACTTCTTTGAACTCCAGCCCCGTCCTGGCTGCTTTAAGGTCACCCTTAATATATATTTGAGGTGTTCTCCTCCTCCCCTGTCTTCTCCAACTCCTCACAGAAGTATTCCACCTCTCATTTATAAAATGTAATAGACAGTTTTGGCCCTTAATCTATTCAAAAAGACACATCACCACCTCACAACAGAATTTGCTCTCCATCTGCTATCTCATCTTCATACATCTCCACAATACAGAGAGGATATTAAAAGCATGAATCAACTGTGGCATTGTTTGATTCGTGTGAATTCCTCTGCCTCTTCGGCAGAAGTGAGAAATTGGATCTCAAGCATTTTATAAAGCAAAAGTTTAAAAAGAAAAGTTTTTTTTTTTCTTCCATGCTTCTTCATACTCTGAGTGCTGAATGAAGCATTTTTCACACGGATAGATATTCTATTAGTGTCACTGTGGTTTATTTATTGATGTGTTGGAGGCTCAAAGTAGGGCGAGAAGATGAGCTTGCTCGCTGATATTATAGACTCTTGAGAAAGGGAATGAGGAGGGAAAGAGGTAGGGGACAAATGATGACAGTCATAGTTATACTTCTGTATCTGAGAGTGGGGGGCATTTGGTGAGAGCACAGCTAAATTCCAGATAGTCCCATCTCTGTTAGAGAGGAAAAAGATCAACTGCCGTCTGCTGATTGCCTTTTATTAAATAATAGTATATGCATTTTCTTTTTGAAGAAATAATCAGACATCCCTCATAAATAGATTAGAAGAGGCAGATGAAAGAGACGGTAAGTAAAGTAGGTTAAACTCCATCCTGCTGTGCAAAAATGTCCATTGGAATAACATGAGTCTTAGATGTACAGTGACTCATGTGGGTTGGAAACTGGTGCCCAAATCCTCTTGAAAGCAGCAGAGATTTTGATGATGTGTTCTTGTCAGAGTGGTTACTTCCTGTCCATGTCAGAAAATAATCTTGAAAGAGGAATATGCTGGTAGCCTGTACACATATCTTGTGCTATGCTAAAACATTTCTTCTCCAAAAATATCTCCAGACTAGAGCCAGATAACATACGCGGATATCATACTTTAAGGAGCAGTGTGTAAGATTTAGGGTGAATAGTGGCATCTAGTGGTGAGAGCTGCAGGTTACAGCTATCTGAAACTTCTCCCGGTTTGAATTCCTTCAGTGTTCATTGTTCAGGTTTTTTTTTTTATCAGGAGCCAAATAATCTACAGGGGCCTCTGAGTCTAACCCTGAACTCTGAGTTGACGAAACCTGAGATGGATAACTTTAAGTTTTTTCAGTTTCGCAACAGCTGATCAGAACCAGTTTAGTCAATCTGATCATCAATGGAGCTCAGATACTGCAATTCACCATGGCAACTGGTAAATAAAAAGCCTCCATTTTAATCCAGTGGATGCAGAGGTTTTGATGCATGTATGTAGAGACTGCGCACATTTATCTAAAAAAGAAAAGAAAAGAACTTCCACTCGCAATAAGACAGCTATGCAGAGGTTTGACTCCCAGCTGTGGTGACTCAATCTCGGAACCCATCGTCTGTCATCTGACAGCGATACATATGCAGATATCTGTGTATAGAGATTAGGGCTGACTTCATGCTGTGTGATATTTCAATGTGAGGGCAAAAACCACTCTTTGAAGAAACAACTGCATATAAAAGCAGTAACTTTATATTGTCCTGAGTATCAAACTAACGTCCAAACAGGGGTTTGATTCTGACAGACAGTAAACCTCAGCTAATTAATGCACTTCAGTACTCACTTTGATACGGACTGAACCAGTGAGGACATGAAACAGCATGCCTGGCTCTGCAGAGGGAGGAGACAGAGAGAAACTCAGGATTTGTTGAAGAAAACTAACTCAGAGTTTAAGTGACCCTTCTTTCCGAAAGGGAAAACCCAGACTTTCCCTCATCTCAGGGTTAACCTACTCAGAGTTTACACTAAACCAGCTTTCTGAAACAGGGCACAGATATATCTTCCTCTCCAAAACAAAAGGACCAGGTTATTAGAACTGGTAAAGCAGTGAATAAAGCAGTTTCTCCAAGGCTGGCTGCTAGTCCAGCACCTGCAAATGTGCGCTCACCTTATACTATGACTGATACTCTGATAACTTAAGATGCAGACATTCAAGAGGTTTTTACCAGGAGCCGAATTATTTGCAGAGGTGTCTTCCTCTCAAACAGACAAACGCACCCGGTGATTTAAACCTGCTCTTGTCATAGAGGAGCTGCTAATTAGAGTCGTCCATGCAAAAACATGAATCACCCTATTTAGAGCCAGTGTTTGGTATGTCCACCCTGGGCTACTGTAGAAACATGGCAGACTCTATTGACGAGGACCCACTCCCTGTGTAAATATAAACAGCTCATTTTAACAAACACACAATTCCTATGTACATTTGGTCATATACTAAAAAAAATATACCTATTATATTCCATGTCTGCCAGTACAGCCCCATAAACCCTACACACTGGACCTTTAAATAAAACTACCAAATACTCCATAACAAGGAAATTGAAAAAGGACTTAAGTACAAGTGCAAAGGTTTGTCAATTAAATATAATTAAAGTATCAAGAGTACTCTTTCTGCTGGAAGATGCCTCTGCGACTGGTATATATTATTATATATGACGTTATTAGTTTGTTGATACTGATACGTCTATGTGAAAGTAGTATTCACTGTTGTAGCTGGCAGAAGTGGAGCTGGTTTTACTACTTAATGTACAGTTAGGTAGTTTAGTCCAGTGCTTCTCAACACAGGGGTTGGGCCCCCTCCAATGGATGACAAGATAAATCTGAGGGGTCATGATATGATTAATGGATAACATAAGAAGAAAGAAGAAAGTTCTGCTCCATAAATCTGCATTAACTTTTTGGATTTTTCTATAATCCTTGCTTTTTTGTGATATATTGGAGACTTTACCTCTTCTGGCCTCAAACAGTTATTTAAAAGAAACCATCTGAGAGGTTTAGAGGGGAAATGTCTCTTTGGGGGAACTGCTAACAATTTATAAACATCTGAGATGTGGCAAGGAGCCCCGACTACAGACAAGGTGCACACATCCAGGCAAAAATAGGAGCCCCAAATACTCTGCGTTAATGTCGGAGGCCACGAGCCAAAAAAGTTGGACAGTCTTTAAATGTGAAGTATTTTATAAGCGAATCCATTTTCACTTGAATCCGAAGTGTATGTTACAGTATAATAAAGAGCAAATTCTCTGCCCCTCTCTAAGATCCTTCATACCTGGAGCCAGCGGATGTTCGTCAGCAGCTCAGTCATTACCAGCTGGCCTCCCGCAGTCAAATGTCTTCCGGCTCAACACCTGGCGGCTCAACAGTGGCTGATAATCGACCAGACAGCATCCTCACTTGTGAGTTCTGTGAGTTCAGCTCTGGATACATGCAGAGCCTGCGTCGACACTACAGGGACCGCCACGGTGGCAAGAAGCTCTTCAAGTGCAAAGACTGTTCCTTTTTCACCTGCTACAAGTAAGGACAGACAGCAGAGAAAACTAGGACAATGACTATGAGTAACATATATTTCAAGGAGTATCCAACTGTACTGATACCAGAGAGACAACCGCTGGATAAATCCCCCCAGTGATTTAATGAACCTTCTCTCTCCCTCTGAATCTGTCTCAGGAATACCTTCACCATGCATGTGGAGGCCGGTCACAACAACAACGTACCTGATGACGTCCCGAAAGACCTGCGCTGCCCTCTCTGTCTCTACCACACCAAACACAAGAGCAATATGATTGACCACATTGTCCTGCACAGAGGTACACATCATGCTAAATGCAACCATATTAAAGTTTATTTTTAAAGAAACAGTTCAACATTTTGGAAGATAATGTGCTAATTTGCTTTCTTGCCAAGAGTTAGATGAAGAGATTGAGCTCAGCTTCAAGTCAGTTCACCACCATATCCAAAATACATATTTTTCCTCTTACCTGTAGTGCTAATCATCGATCTAGATAGTTTTGGTGTGAGTTGCAGAGTTTTGGAGATTTCAGAAGTAGAGATGTCTGCCTTCTCTCATATATAATAGAACAAGATGGCACTCAGCTTGTGGTGCTCAAGGCAGCAAAAAATACACTTAAAAAACTCAACAGCAATGTCTCTTTCCAGAAATCAAGACACAGTTACTCAAGATAATCCACAGACCTTGTTGTGAGCAGTTTCATGTAAGAACTATTTTCTTTCTACCAAACTACACCTGCCAACTGTATCACTGTACAGAAGGAAGTTTGGGTCTACTGCTAGCTCACCTAGCACCTCTGAGCTACCTAAAGTTACAGCTCAGCTTAGGAGAACTCCAGTAATGTTGACATCTTACACTGTCACGAACGTGAGCCTGTCCATGAGTAGATGCACACTTCCTTCTGTTCATGATTTGATTGGCGGGTGTAGTTTGGTAGAAAGATACTGCTCAACTTCAAGGTCTGTGGATTATCTTGTGTAACCAGGCCACGATTTCTGGAAGGAGACATTGCTTTTGAGTTTTTCAAATGTATGTTTGTTGGCACTTTGAGCACCACAAGCAGCAGAGACATTCATATACACCTTGTAATCCATTATAAGAAATGTAAACATAATTCAAACACAGTAAACGAGTCATATAAACTGTGAGTTGGAGCTGTTAGTTAATGGAATAATTAAGGCATTGCATAGAGAACATTCATGAGAACTGAAACAAAATAAGATTTAGATGCAAGCACGGAGTGATGAAACTGAAGTTGATAAAACTTTTTGGGGGGCATGTAGATAGTTTTATATTAGACTATCTGGAGGAGCTGTTTATGTTGAAATTGACAAAACCACCAAACAGTAACAGCCACTGGGATCACTGGTGTGTAAGTGACAAATTTGATATCTCTCCTGCGCCCCCGCATCTCCTCTTCCCTTCTGTCGTCACCTCTCGCTGCTCTTCTCTCTCTTCCTCCAACCTAATAATCCACTTCCACTTCTCTCCTCTTCCTCCACCAGAGGAGCGCGTGGCTCCACTGGAGGTCAGCCGCTCCAAGCTGTCACGCCACCTGCAGGGCCTTGTGTTCCGTTGCCACAAGTGCACCTTCACATGCTCCAGTGACCAGGCTCTGCAGCTGCACCTGCAGAAGCACGCTGAGATCAAACCCTACCAGTGCCAGCTCTGCTATTACGACAGCAGTCAGCGGAGCCAGCTAGAGGAGCATCTACGCATTGAGCACAAGGTCAGTGGGACTCCGTATATCATGACGTTTGTGTAACAAAATTTGAATTGATATATCTTACATTAATTCATTTCTACAATAAAATTAGAGACTTTCTTGCTTATCTCTGATGGAGAGTCTTATTGAACATGGCTTAAGAACATGTTTTAATAATCAGTCCGTTTAATGGCTGTAACATGAGGCGTTTACAGCTTAAACACTCAACACAAACTGTTCATTTATGGCCTCTGCCTGTTTTATGGGAGGTAATCGTGAGGCCGCTGCCAATCAACCGTCTATATTCCCACAGAGTCAAGATATTGTGCCAAATTCAATTTACAACTCCCAAATTGAACATATCCTCAGCAGTCAGCTGCTGAAGGAGTGAGAAAAGCAGAGCTCATATCCTGAAATTATTGGAGTCCCAGATACCCAGAACATTTAAGAAAAGCGAATGCAGTTTTTAAAATAAATTATCTCTATAATCAGGCAAGTAAACAGCAACAATTGATACCCACTCAAGCAGTGGTTCCCAACTGGATCAGCCACGGGCTCCAGATTTCTCCTTTGTCATTAGTTCAAGGTCCCACAGTTTAATACATTCAGCGTCATACTTGTGTTTGGCCATGTCGTCGAGTTAGTTTGCTGTCTCTGTCTGGCAGTTGTCCATTAGTCACTCACTCTACATCAGGAAACAGCACTTCAAAATAAAAGCTCTCTACCGGAAATTCCCTGTACTTAAAAATAAAGTGTGTTTCAGTCAGGAACACTTTTGTCACAGAAAACTTTATTTTCATTTGCAGTATTATATTTGGCGCAGTATTATATTGCGCCTATGTGGAGAAAGAGCACACCTCTCCGTGCTTCTGCATGCCTACGTGGAAAGCCTAAGGCAGAGAGGGCACACCTCCCCGCCCTTCCATGCGTCTACATGGAAAGCCTAAGGCAGGGAGAGCAGTAGCAAAGACCCCCCAGGAACAGAACAGAGCAGCATCAATGACAAACAGAAATGACATTGATAAGTCAGATACAGCATGAAAAGGAGGAGCTGGGGTGGAGGTGGAGGTGGGTTACAAAGCGACTTGCAGAGGAAGCAGCAACAGTAGGCAGACCAGAGCACTTTAAATAGGGCACCCTGAATGAGATTCGCCAATTGGTTGCATAGAAAGGAATCATGTGATCTATCAGCTGACTCCCTTCCATCAGTCAGCTGCTCCATCAGTTGATTGGGCTGTTTGAGATCAACTGATGTAGCTGGGATGTGAACTGAGCGTGACATCGTGTCCTGCCTGAACTAACACTGTGAGTCAATTGCGGTCCATTCAGAATGGATCCGTGACCCACTTTTGGACCACAACCCACCAGTTGGGAACCACTGATTTAAAGTGTAGCAACAGCAAATGAAAAGGATTTGTTTACTTGGTGATTTTAGGCCCACCTAAACTTGAGTAAATGTTGGAAAGTCTTTGTCTAGCTTGTCTACAGATCAAATGACAAGAAGGAGCCAAAAGTGTTTTTAAGAGCATCTTAACCAACATTAGTTAAAATGTAAATAAGCTACACTCCAGCCCACTTTAAACTTAGGCAGGGAAACCCGCTTAATGATTCCTTCGCTATCATTTATTTTGTGTGTGGTGTAATTTTGTGAACATGCGCAATAAAACTTTATTAGATGAGAAATTATTAGAGGATTCCAATTACAGCGGGTCGTAAAGTCAATCAGGAGTATGAAAGTATGTAAACTGGCCCACAAAACACCTCTGTTCTTCCTTGTCTTTTTTATCCCATTCAAAGTTTTAGAGTCTTTAAAAGTGAATATTAACATACGGAGGTGATTTATTAAAACAATAACATAACATTGCTACATAAGCTTATGAAGCCAAAATTAAACTCTGTGCTGCAGATGATAAGGAGATAAGATATTAGTGAAATGACCACTCAGTGGAATAATATGACCACACATATTAGATTTCTAGAGCTTCAGTGCGTTCTCACCCCATCCAGGAGAGAAAAGGTTTCATCTCTGAGTCTTAATGAGGATAATTCATGAGATAACGTGAGACGGCAGGTGGCATTTTAGAAGTTTAGAGTACATTAAACTTAAAAGGGCAACCGGTTATTGTTTTTCAATTCTTTACATAGATCCCTGATTTCACCTAATGCATGCTGGGATAAGGTCCAGCCCTCCTGTTTCCTAAAATAGGAATAAGCAGGTATGAATAATGGATGAATAGATAATTAACATAGTACATATACAGATAATAAAGATAATTTGTTCCTATATATAGAGAAAATGTCAAAGGTAGCAAATCCATCAGACCCTCATCAGGTTAAATTCATATAGACAGACAGCTCATGTGAACCATGCTGGCACCCTCTTTCCTTGGCTGTGTTTACATACCTGTATATGGTACTGGTGCTGTTTGTCTATGTGAAATGCATTTGATGAAGGTCTGCGGAACAACACTTCATAGACTAGAAGGGCACTCTGAAAGCGCAGACCTCCACCAAGGCCAAATGCTCTCTCCCGCAATGTCAACGGAAATTAAAAATAATTTGTGTATCCACCCTGTGATTCAGATCCACTCCAAAATGCAATGGGTTCTTTCTTTGCTCATGCTACACCCTTCCACCAAGTTACATGAAAATCAGGCTGGTCGTTTTTTCGTTATCCTGCAAGCAAACAAACAAACAAACTGAAAAAAAATCCTTGGTGGTGATATTGAAGTGAGAATGATAGATTGGCAGCATACAGGAGTTTTTTAATCATTCACGTGTAGCTGAAGGACAAAAAAGGTGCAGGAAGCAATGAAGGCTATGCAAAAATATATATATTTGTCTTCAGGGTTGTGCAAATATATGCGTAGTCTTGCAAAAAACTTGAATGTCCATTGTTGACAGCTGAAAGGAAGATTGAGTGAGCAGGGCTCAGAGCTAAAGCTTCTTCATTGTAGGAGGAGTGGAAGAACAGACGTTGTCTCGTGGGAAGGATGTTGCAGGGCTACAGCTGAGTCCTCGGGGAGCATGGGAGGAGGGAATAGCTCCAAAAGAGTGACATCATTTGCAACAAAACAAGCAAGGAAGAGATGGTTCTGTCATCAAAATCTTTCCATCTTATATCATTGTACAGTGTACAAGTACACCTCTGACTCGAGAGAAGTTCAGTTTTATATTTACGATCTCACTACAGGCTCTCCACTTTTAAACTTGTACTTTGGGTTACTAGTACATTTCAGCCATCCTCAAAACTGCTAAAAGTCTAATTTTTACTAAGGTTTAGATTTTGTGTATAGGCAGGCTGTGGATTTGTGTAACAATAAATTAATCTGGAGTTAGGTGTACCAAAAAACCCAACATCAGCTCTACTGTAAAATCTGCATTAAGAGGTTTCAGAATTTATAATACTGTTTTAATAAGCGAGATTCTTGAGCTTTCCGATTAATGTTAAATATAAAAATTGCAAATAAGAACAGTCAGCCTAAAACTCATGTAATAACTTTCTAGTTTCAATTCACTTAATAAAAAAAGGAAAAATTAACACTTAAACACACCTAAATGTGATGCTGCTTACTGCTAATTTTGCAAGCTTTAACAAATTGTGGTAAAACAAGAAAAGACCAACATTAAAAAGGGAGATAATTACAGCTCAGAGCACACTATACCAAACTGATTAAAACCTCTTGTTTGCAATCAGGTTATCCGGAACTTCGAGCTGATGGGCCGCGTCAACCTGGACCAGCTGGAGATGATAAAGGAACATGAGAGCAGCGCAGACGAGGACGAAGAAAGACAACTCATGGAGATGGTTGTAGATGGAAAAGTAGCTGCAGACGAGGAGGAGGAGGAGGAGGAGGAGGGGGAAGAGGAGGATGAAGATGAAGGAATGGAGATTATGGAGAACATGGTGGAGGAGCAGAGGGAGATGGATGATGAAGAGATAGAGGACAACATCAAAGAGGAGGAGGAGGAGGAGGACGAGGAGGAGGAGGAAGAGGATGAAGAGGTAGTCAGGGCGGTGGAGGAGGAGAAGCCTGTCCTACAAGGTAAATACAGATGACTTAATCTCTCTTGCTCTCCTGTGTTACATATGATCGTCTCGTATTCATCCTCGCTCTGCTGACAGACAGCGTCCATGTTCAAAAGGTTTGCTTCACACTGTCGAAAACAACCACTGATGTTTGCTGAAAGAACAAATATATACCTCACACACCACCTCAACTCCACTGAATACTCTTTAACTGCTGCATATGAGCCTATTGCACAACAAATTTCTTTACAAAACCTTTTGGGATTACACTATAAATGAGTGTCTGCTGAAAAGCCATTTTCTGTCGCACTCGCAGTAATTTTATATCAAATTGTGATATGTGTAAAAAATCTCCCGTGTCTCCTTTTAAGCCAAACAAATGGGCCCATAAGTAAGAAAACAATCATACTGCCACAGTATTGGAAGTCCCATAGCATACATAAGCTTTTATAATGTGTTTTAGCTATTCTTCATGAGCAGTGTATTTCTTCCAAAATAGCCACAGTCTTGTAATTCTCAATTGATTTTTGCACTTCATTCTTCTAGCGTATTATTCACTGAGTGTACTTGACTGGTATTGGCTGCTCACAGAACAAAAAAGTAGGTTTTCTACCAAAATATATACTGATCATCCCTGGTCCACAGAGGAGCTGTTCATTTCTAACACATTAAACATTTTTACTTTGTGACAGATGTGTTATCAGGATGTCTGCAGGTCTTTATAAAAAGTTTTAAAATGTCTTTAATATCATAAATATTAGGTCTTAAAGGTCTAGTGTGAAGAATTAAGTGGCATCTAGTAGTGAGATTGCAGATTGCAATCAACTGAAACTTCTCCCATGTGTTAAGCATGTAGACGAAATACGATGGCTGACACGAATGCAAATAGCCCTATTTGGAGTCAGGGTTTGATTTGTCCATTCTGAGCTACTGTAGAACAACATGGCGGCCTCCATGAAAGAGGGCCTGCTGTGTGTGTAGATATAAACAGCTCACTGATTATATTACATTTAATTTCTGCCTATATATTTCCCCTAAATCTTACACACTGGACATTTAAAAGTCATAAAATAAAATAAAAATTTAAATCAGTGAGGTTTTAACCCATTGAACTCTGAGCAAATTGGTGCGATTTCTTTCAAGTCATGGGAAAAAAGGCATAAAGCAACTTGGTAAGAAATGTCCCACAAATTGCAAAAAAAAAAAAAAAAAATAGATTGAGAAAATAGGGAAAAGAGAAAAATGCCAGGGAAAACTATATTTATAATTATTATTAGATTTTAAAATTATTTTACCAAATTATTATGATTTTTAAGCACTTTTGCCAGGTTATTTTCTTGTTTGTGTGTTGTTGTTGTTTTTTTAACGTTCTTTATTTCTTTCTTTTTTTTTTTTTTTTACTAATTTCCTTGTTTTCAATTTTCTCTTTTCACTAATTTCTTAAAAAAAATTGGCTCATTTCTTCTGTCATTGCCATCTTCCCACGTTTTTAAAAGAAACAAGTCAATATGCTCAGGTTTCACAGGGATAATTACCAACACACATTTATATCTAATTTCACTGTTCCATCTTTTAATTTCTTTTCTTTTTTTGTTGTCAAAATGAGTCAAGCTCTTCTCTGTAGTCCAAATTTCTGATGTTACAAATATTTCAACCTACCACTGAACTAAAACTGTCTTTTTTTATTAATTGCACTTACCTGTTAACCTAACTCGCTCTAATAACTATATTCCTACTGTACATAAAAACTACCGACAACATTTACAGTGACATGCAAGAGTTTGAGCACGGCTGGTCAAAATTTACTGCAAATAGTTAAGTGAGTAGAAGATGAACTGATTTCCAAAAGGCATGACGTTAAAGATGAAATGTGCTTTTTAACATTTTAAGCAAGATTAGTGTATTATTTATGTTTTGTACAATTTTAAAGTGTAAAAAGGAAAGGCGCACCATGCAAAAGTTTGGGCACCCCAAAACATTTGAGCTCTCAGACAACTTTAAACAGGGTCTCAGACCATGATTAGCTTGTTAGGGCTCTGGCTTCACAGTCATCGTAAGGAAAGGCCAGGTGATGCAAATTTCAAAGCTTTATAAATATTCTGACTCCTGAAACCTTGTCCAAACAATCAGCAGCCATGGGCTCCTCTAAACAGATGCCTAGCCCTCTGAAAATAAAATTAACTGATGCCCACAAAGCAGGAGAAGCCTGTAAGAAGATAGCAAAGTGTTTTCAGGTCGCTGTTTCCTCAGTTCATAATGTAATTAAGAAATGGCAGTTAACAGGGACTATGGAGGTCAAGCTGAGGTCTGGAAGACCAAGAAAACTTTCTGAGAGAGCTGCTCATAGGATTGTTAGAAAGGCCAATAAAAAACATCATTTGACTGCAAAAGACCTGCAGGAAGATTTTGCAGATGTTCTACTGTGCAGCAACACCTGCACAAATATGACCTTCATCAGAAGAGAATCTTTCCTGTGTCTCCACCAGACGTTTGCAAAGCAATGTTAAAAAAAGCTGGATGCTTTTTGTAAGTCCAAGTGGACTGATTGGATGCATTGAGCAAAACCATGTTTGAAAAAAAAGGTGCAGAATTTCACGAAAGGAACACCTGTCCAACTGTTAAACACGGGGGTGGATCGATCATGCTTTTGGCTTGTGTTGCAGCCAGTAGCACAGGGAAAATTTCACAGGTGGAGGGAAGAATGAATTCAGTTAAATTCCAGCAAATTCTGGAGGCAAACATCACACCATCTGTAAAAAAAAAGCTGAAGATAAAGAGAGGATGGCTTCTACAACAAGACAATGATCCTAAACGCACCTTAAAATCCACAACGGACCACATCAAGAGACGTTGAAGGTTGAAGGTTTTGCCATGGCCTTCGCAGTCCCCTGACCTAAACATCATTGACAATCTGTGGATAGACCTCAAAAGAGCAGTGCAAGCCTTTTGCAGGAAGAGTGGGTGAACATCCCCCAAACAAAAACTGAAAGACTGGTTACACAAAGTGTTTAGAAGCTGTGATACTTGCCAAAGGGGGTGCTACTAACGACTGACCGTGCAGGGTGCTGAAACTTTTGCCTCAAGGCAATTTTCCTTTGCAGCCGGAAAGGTTTTATACAGGGATACCCAAACTTGTACATGCAGCTGTATATTTCTATACTTACTTTACACGTACATACACTGCTTGAGTAGCTCAAAGTAAATAAAAGACAAAACTGGTTAAAGTTTTTCTTTAAAAGGTTTTAAAAAAGTATTACATTTAATTGCCTGACACCTGTCGACACCCTGAGTAATTTTGTGTTGAATACTGATTGCCTGACAATAAATAAACCATAGCAATAAATATTTAATGTTTTCAAATAATGTGGCAAATAGAAAATGAACACTTGTGTAATTACTGTACTCTGAGGCTCACCAATCATTTGAACTCTATTTCCCAGAGGTCCTTGCATCTCCCATCTGCAGCAGCAACAGCAGCAGCTCTGCGCCGAGCGGTACAGAGAAGCGTCTTCCCTGTGAGTTCTGCGGCCGCTGCTTCACCAACAGCCTCGAGTGGGAACGTCATGTTCTTCGACATGGCATGTCAGTATTTCTTCCTATTTCTCCTCTAATTTTGTGTGTGCACTTTTATACTTGCCTTATCACATAAGCCACCACGGTCCTGTTTGTCTTCCCAGCTTTACTTTGTGTTTAGTGCTAATTAGCAAACATCAGCATGCTAAACATAGAAGGTGAACATGGTAAACATACCTGTAAACACCAGCATGTAAACACTGTCATTGTGAGTTAGCATTTAGCTCAGAGCACAGCTGTGCCTATGTGCAGCTTCACAGCCATAAGGCATGGGTGTAGACTTTTAGTGTATCCCTACAGATTTAAAATCTTGCCCCCTCTGCCCTTTAGTCTCATGTTTGTTCACATTTTTCCACATTATAAGCACTTATTTCTGCCTCCTCCTTCGTTATTAGGATGGTTAACAACAGCCGAATGGACACCAGCACCACCTCCGCAATAGAGGCCTCAGCTTCATCTTCCACTGGCTCCTCTGTCTTGATGGACACAGGATTGGACCTGTCCAGCCACAGCAACGAGGAGGGGAACCCCGCTGATATATCACTGAGAAGTCCCAGCCAGTATGTGGAAGACAAAGAAATGCTCGACACCAAAAAGGATCAACAGTTTGGCTGAACTGATTGTGGCCTCTTGAGATGTTGTGCCAGAAACTGTTAACATTGGGTAGGATCAGCACTGAGTTTAAATAGGACGTCAAAGAAAACAAAAAGAAACTGAAAAAAAGTGACTTCTTATGAGTTGGCGCATTACTAGATATTAGGTGTTACATATTTAAGTATTAGATTGTGCTGCATAAAACGGCTGAGCTCTCTAAATGGGCAGTCCCCTAGGACAGATCTTAATATATTGGTAACCAATAGTGAACAGAACTCTTTATTGCTGACATTCTGGTCAAATCTACCGTGAAAGATCCCACCTAGATGAAACGAAGCTATTTATAAAGAATAATGTCCAAAATGAATAACTAAATTAGTATTTTATTATTTGAAGCACCTTTTACACTCCCCCCAAAACAGGGGTACTGTAAATTTACCCAAAAGAACAAATAGGATATGAAAGCATTTAAAAACCGTGGCCCACTGTAGAGCTACATTTTCTCGTTTCTTGTTGAAATTTGAGACTTTTTTCATCTTAGCCTTGTGTTAAATGTGTAGAAGTATTCCTTCAGAAGAGTCGCACCTTATCTATTTTAGTAAAACCACAAATCATGTTTTCTTCATTCATAGAAATACTGAAAATTTCCCCCGATGTTTGTAGCAAATTGCTATATTTTAGGTCCTTTAATAATATTATACTACGTATAAGCCTTCAGCCTGTGGCACCCTTTGCATTCTGACTGTACTATTTTATTGTCCAGTAATTTCACTGATGAAACCATGGAAATAATGGGATTGGTTTAAATCTCCCGCCCCCCCTGTAAGATATCATGTTTGTAGTCCAGGTTAAACTATATCACAGTTAACCTGTGCACTCAGCAGATCAATATAACAATGAGATATGTTCGAAGTGTCATGACTGTATCCATGTGATATAGGTATCCGTTAAGCTGAGCACAGCAAGAACGCAACTACAGGATTTAACAACAGTGGCGTAATATTTGTCATCACCAAAAGAAGGAGATTACACTTGTCTTTTCAGTGCAAAACTATTAATGAGACGTGCCAGAATCCGGCTTTTTTCAACACAGTATGTGCGTCCACAAATAACAATTAAATGCAAAGTTTGGAGGAGGCTGACCCACATGGATGAGTGTTGCAGCTAGTGCGTAAGTGCCTTAAAATGCAGTTCCTCTTGGGCGCCCCTGTAGCTTACTGGGTAGAGCACGTACCATTAAGGCTGAGTCCTTACGGCAGTGTGCATGTCATCCCCTCTTTCCCCTGCCTATTTTATCAAATAAAGCAGAAATGCCCCCCCCCCCCCCTCCTCTAATGGCCACTAGATGGCTTTAATTGCTTTGAAAGAAAAACATCAGCTGATTTGAAGTAACTTGGAAATCATCCCCAATCTCTCTCTTGAAATATAAAGTTTATTCCGTTACTTATCTCATTGTGTGTTCAGGTGTTTCACAACACCTTGCTGTGAACATAAAGGCATTCGCAGGTGTTCATGAGACCGTACGCAAAGGCACAGGAGGTGTGGCCGATGCGCCCATTTGTTGTGGTCTGAGGTGCTTTTTCTCTAGTGCAACATTTAGTTGTTCCAAATGTCATTAATAGAGCCGTCAGTCCACAACCCAGTCACCAACATAAATGTTGACGTTGTACATTTCCGCAAACCAAGATTATGCTAAATTTATATCTTTAATATGTAGCAGAAATGTTGAAACTTTTCATTTCTTTCCATTTCAGTTTTCAGTTTTATGTTGTGACAACGCTGGTACACGTGGTTACCTGTAAGTTTAGGCCCAAAAACCACTTGGTTAGGGCGAGGAAAACATCCTTTCTTTTTGTCGTAAAATACCCGACATGGTCACTCTCATCAACAAACACTTGCTTTTGTAGGTCTTGAACAGTAGTCTGCTGATATCTGCTGCTCTTAGCTCATATACATGTAAACTGATCTACGACACATGTATAAAACATACCAACGTGTCATATCCATGGTTTGCAGAAAAGTACAACGCCAAAATTTTATTCCTGTAATTGGACTGTATTTCAACTAGATTTTAAAAGGTATATAAATACATTCTCATCAACCTCTGGTGGTGTTTAGCCTTGTAGATATCTTTGGTTTATTTGCCAAGGTTTATAGATATCTGTTTCGGAGATTTCTGCTGATCCAATAGAAGCGGGTGGAATTTAATCGGTTCTTCTCACAGCATTTTAAGAAAAATGAGCAGTTTTCATTTGGACCTCTATCAACCAGATAATAGTCTCTATGAAAACTGTGTTTGCTGAGTGCTCTATGTTATCTGGAGTGAAAGGGTGATGCTCTTTATGGAAAGAAATGCTGCTAAGTGTGTTTTTTTTAAGGCTGTGACCACCACAGATGAAATTCCATGCTAAGCTGCATATAAGTGGAGCCATGTTTGCTTGATTGACAGATGTCTCTGCCTTTCACAGTCAGCCCTAGTGATTACCTCAACTTCATCCAGGTCTCTCCACATCGGCCAAATTTGGATTTTTAGGCTCCAAATGACTGACAGGCTGGCATGAAGCATTAAACTCAAACCTTGGCTTCGAGACGTCCCTTCAGAAACTTATGGCTGATGCCACAGACATGTTTTCCTACAGTTTGTGGTCCAGTTTTGACGTGATGGGATATACTGAAAAGACAAGTGTAACCAAGTCGGAAAGCCCTAAAACCATTTGTTTCCACGTAATCAGAGTATATTTGCCACTGGGACTGTATGTAGAAGATTGACTTTTTAAGGGTGTCAAATTCCCGAACGTAAACCCCTTTAAATTCCGTACTGACACACCTGTCATAGCCTGCATATGTGTGCTTCTTTTTAGACAATGCTGTGATGTTATTGTTGATACTGACAAAAGGCAGAGATTGTATTTGTTGGAAGTTGCTGCTTGAATGCCCGAAAGCCTTATAAGATAATGAAATAGCAATTAAATCAAATTTATGTCCCAATTCCTATAAGACCAATAAGCAACGTTAAACAATCTGAGATAAAATGGCTGATTACTGCAATTTGTAGAGGAGCACAATTCATGTAATTGTGTTCTTGGTACCAAAATATTTACCCAGCCCGCTGTGTTTGCTGCTGTGATTGTCCTTCCTGAGCATTGAACAATTGATGGAAATGGGAAAATTTGGGTTCAGAACCCAGGTGAACCACATGTTTGCAGCCATGTATAGAAAACAAAAACTACTCGTTAAGTGTTTGACCCGTGGTGTTTCAGAAAGGATACTTTAACCCTTTTTTCCTTTAGGTGTTCTCATTTTAAAAAAAGACGAAAAAAAAAAATCTAAAGATGATAGCTAACCCTTAGGGGCTTTTTGAGTCCCCAATCCAACATTATTACGCTGTTGTACAATGTCTGGTTACAATGAAAAATATATCCTTTTTTGTACTGTAATGGGAATGAGCAGATAGGAAGAGCAGTGTGGTTGTACAATATTTTAACACGTGAAGGAAAATGACGCAGTTCTCTACTAATTAATGGCCAGGGCTTTTATTGTGAAGAAGAAAAACATGGCAAAGACAGAAAATTGTTCCTTTGGGGGCATTTACCTAAACTGCTTGGTCCTTTTTTGGGCTTGGCCACCGACCTATAGATCCCTCTGAGATCTAGCTCACTCATGTCCAATCCAACACCTGACACTCCAGTATTTTCTATCCATGACCAGTAAGGGCATCAGCTGCCCATAGTCTACCCAGTCAACAAGAGGTGGGAATGTAGCAGCCCCACGATGCTCCTCAGTCCTTGTAATACCTTGAGAAATCGGTTGAGTTGGTGCTGAATCTCGAAGCCCTTTTTCTGTTCTTCAGGACCAGCTTGTAGCTTTTTGAAAGTAAAACTGTTTGAAAGCTGTTGTTGTAGAAATAAGCTTTGTAAGGCAGCTCGTTGCCCAGCTAGAAAGCCCAGTGTAAACCACACGATGAATTGGGACAATCTGGGTAATGAAGCTGTCAACCCAAAATTGTTTGTTGTTCTGTGATCATTTTAATAGAAAATGACTATGAATCCCTCACTGTGTGCAGTCCCTGGACTGTGATATTCCCAGTTTACCCAAAGTTAAGCCCCTGCTGACAACACACTGGATACTTGTATATATGTTTAGTTTGTTTCCGATGCATTTCTCTTTTCGGACTGTTGTCTCCATAGTTTGACACTAGAATCTCTCCTTCTTGCCTTTCTTCCCATATAAATCTGATTACCTGATGGTGGGTTGTGATGTTGCCTAGAATGATTGTTTACAATTTTATTCCATTTATCTCTGGATATTCTGTAAATATTGTAATTCATTGTCTTTTTTTAACTTGATAATAAAGTTATCAGATAACGGTTTATTGTGTTTACCTCCTCTTTGTACAGATTCATCATATATATTCAACCAGGCCTTTAAAATGGAACCTTTGACACTGATATGTTAAGTCCGAACTATGCGATCACTCAAATATAGAATTGTGAGACCAAGCCGCACTTTTACCTCGTAAATAACTCTTTTATATTTGTTGCAAACTTGATAAACTCGAGATCATGCATATCAATTCCTCATGCCTGATATATTTCATCCGCTGCCCTCTAAATCAGTGAATTATGCACATCAGCGCACATGTCAAACTGTTTAAATTCCCAGAAAAGCAAGCTTCCTGAATAGCAACTTGAGAATTAAGTGTAAGTGAAGTGCTTCACCGTCAAGGGTGAAGTGATGCCAAAGGAACTAGTCAGGAAAATACAAGTACCATCGGACAAGTGTTATTCTTTTCATCAGAGCACCTTTAATACCTTCTTTCTTAAGAAATAATCACTATCACATCAGATCAAATAGCAAGCACTTGTCATTACTTGTAGGTAATGTTGGAAACCATTCATGTAGGGAGATTAACATGAAATTTGGTAGACATTCATGTTCAGTCAGGATGAATTTAGTGATATGGTGATCCCCCTGGCTTTTTCATCTAGCACCATCATCAGGTCAAATATTTTGGTGTATGATGGAATACCTGATGTCACTGCCATCAGCCTCAGCTGTACTTTGTGTTCAGTGCTAATTGGCAAATGTCAGACATGCCAAACTAAGATGGTGAGCATGGTTAAAATTACACCTACTTAACAACAGCATGTTTACATTGTTGTTTTGAGTATGCTGACGTTAGCATTTAGCTCATATCGCCTCTGCCTAAGTACAACTTCCCAGAGAGAGAGTAGCATGACTGTACACTATCAGTCTAATTATGCCTCCTTGCAGGTGACAGCCGTGGCCAGAGGCATTATGTTGTCAGGTTGTTTGTCTGTCTTTCCCAGGGGTGGGCAACCTGCAGCTCCAGGGTTGCATGTGGCTTTTTAGACCCTCTCCACTGGCTCCATTTGACATAAAATTATATGTACCATTCAGATTTTCATTTGTCATTGTTGTAGGCCTGAAGTGATTATTGCATTCTACAACTGTAAAAATTTGCAGCCTTTACATCAAATTTAAAAATCTTTTAATGTTTCATCACCTGAAATGTGCATCATACGCCTACAACATTCCGCTGAACTTAGTAGCGGTGGCTAGCCTGGAGGCTATCTGTGGAGTTCAAATCCAAAAAAAGAAAAGTCTTGGAGGAAAATGAAGGATTCAATAGTGTGTGGACAGATTCACTTGCTTTCACCACCAAGGCTGCAAAGTTTAAATACAAAATAATTATAAATAGCCTATTGCAGAGTAGCCACCTCGTAGTAAATCACATTAATGAATGCTCATTTAGACCTATTTGTAATTTTGATGGGCTAATTTAGAGTTAATAGGCTGTTACCGTTATTCAAATATGTTTTGTGGCTCCAGACAATATTGATTGATTGATTGATTTTTATTTGTGTCATGCACACTTACATGTGCCCGAACCTCATGGGTTTACAAGACACCATTACAATGACGTTGCAGCAATTAAAAAAATACATGATATTTAACTACTCAGTCCAGAAACAGAGTACTCTGCCTTCTATCCCAGGCCTGGCAAAGAAATTCAGCCACAAAAAAGGTTCGCCTTCTGAAACAAAACTCTCATTTTTCATGATCATCCAACCAAAAGAAATCCACATAACAGAGGTCATCTTACTGAAAATTACATTCCTTATGTCTTCATATACAGGACAGTAAAACAAGAAGTGAACCTCATTCTCAGCTTCACCTAAATTATACAACAAACAAATTCTGTCCTCTTCTGGGGCAGCATTAAACCTTCCAGTCTCTAAGGTAGCTATTCTTTATGAGATAATAGCTTCATAGTTTTGGTTTATACCATGTGTTAACGGACCATTTTTCTCAAAACATGCATAATATTTCACTTCTTATCTCCTGAATATCACAAAGTAACCTCTCTGGTGATTTTAATGGCAAAGGTTGCCAGCCTCTGGTCTATCCCATTCTTGTTAACGTGATATCTCAAGAACACCTTGAGAGACGTTCTTCAAATTTGAAACACATGTCCACTTGGAATCAGCAATGAACTGGTTAGAATTTTGTTGTAGAAGTTCAAAGGTCAAGGTTACTGTCACCTCACAAAACGTGTTTTTGGCCATAAAATTTCACACAAATGTATGATAGAATAACATGATTAAAGTGATGACATCATATATCCAAAAGGTCAAAGGTCAACTTCACTGTGAGATCATAACATTCTGCAACAATACTTTTCTGGCCATTATTCAACGCCATAACAGAAGGGGAGACATTTGTTCAGATACTGAATTGGTGACACTTATCTGGGTGTCCACCTTGAAACTATGTTGACTGTATAGATTATAGACTGTATAAAAATATGCGTCTCCACTTACCCCCACTGTACAAAATTGAAGCCAAAATATCCCCAATATAGCCTCTGCCATCATGTGCAGGTGATGTCATCCGAAGCAAGAGTCTGTACAATAGCAATCTCTGCTGGAGTCAAGTTCCTGCCCATATGCCTGTCCAACCAATCCTTAGCAGCACCATTGATAGGAGGAGTACCGATTTGCACACACAGCCATCAACAAAGACCTCAGTCCCTCTTTCTTTAACACCAGATTACTAGTATTACCACAAAAAAAAAACACAAAAAAACTTGAACACACATCACTGTGATAAGAACTACCTAAAATGACAGAAATGATTCTTGGGAAAAATTTCAGTTTATTTGACATGTCCTATCCGCTAATGATGACCTATACTGCAGCCAGCCGCCAGGCAGCATTCATGACGTTTAGGCTTTACTTTTGAGGAGCTGTCATGTCGTCCATCTTCATATACAGTCTATGGTACAGATCTTCTGTGCTGCTGGGGGGAAGATGTGTGTAAAGCATCCATGTTTAAGAATATGTCACTTCTTTGCAGCAGCAAACATATCTGAGTCATTGTCAACTGTCATGGCTACATATGAGTCTGGACAGAACTGGATGTAATTGAAACGTGACGGGTTCATGGATGCATGCAACCATGAGGCAGTAATTCTAGTTTTTTTACTTTATATCTGCATGCCCTCTCTGTCTCATGTTTGTTCATATCAGTAATTTTTATTGTGGTTAACAACAGCTGGATGGACACTGGCAGTTCTTGGGCCTTTGTGTAGTATATGTTAATGATACTCGGCAGAAACACTGTGGTCTTATAATGCAGTTGCTCTCATGTTTAATTACTCCTCCTCCTCCAGAGTTAATCATATGCTTTGTAAAATGTCTCCATGATTATGAACTCTAGCATTTGTGCAACATGTTTCCCATCTACAGTGACATATAGGATTTCCTCTGTTACATGTCCAGAGCCTCTGGAACAACCAATAATAGTCCCGGCAGCTCTTCCACAGGAAATAGCTTGGGGCTGAGAAGGCATCTCAGTGGCCTTCACTCTGTGTTACACCCTTCCACCCTTCTGTTTCTCTCTCTACTCTACTTCACTCCACACCCAGCAAGAGCTCTGCTGACCAAAACCACAATCCCTGCAAATGCCAGTTGTGAGTGTGTGCTGTGTACATCTGTGTGTGTGTGTCTGTGTAATGTACATGCATAAAATGCTGCGGCTCTTGCGCCCTAAATACCACGAGTCATTGAGATCAGCAGGCTATGCTTGTGCTTTATATTGACGTTTTTATTTTTTCAAAATCTCTCCGTATCGCCAAAAAACAGCACTTGGAGGAGTCTGTCTTCAAGTGAAAGTCTCAATTTCACACTTGTCCTCTGCATTTCCTCTCCTGCCTGTTTTAGAGGGGGGCAAGTCTTTATTTCACATGTCTAACATCATCTCTTAAAAATATCTCCAAGTCACCAGGGATTAGACTGTAATCTCTGTGGCTCGCCACTTCAGAGGGGGGCCGATGGCAGACTGACGACCCCTGGAGACAGGAGCAAGAGGCACAGCCACAGTGGGGAGAGGGGAAAGGAGGACACTGCTGCTACTGCTGCTACTGCTGCTGAGTGGAGCAACATAAGGAATGCCTGATGAGTGTGTGCTCGGGCCAAGGCAGGCGAGGGCACTGCTCCTGTCGTAATGACAAGAGAGGAGGGGGGGATTGAGTGGAGAGATAGAGAGGAAAGTCAGGATAGAAGAAGAGTAGGAGCAGCAGAAGGACAGGGAAAGACAGTGGAGAGTAGTGGGAGATAAACAGATTCACACGTACAGTGATAGAAAGTGAGGGGGAGTGATATGAGAATAAGAGAGAAGTGGCCTGGGGAAGAGACCCCATTGAGCTCCAGCATATTATCTCTCACACTTAACAGTCCTCTCAAAGTCAGAGCTGTGCAGCATGTGAGACAGAAGTCAATAAAGCCTCTGAATACTGAGTGCTCGGTGGATGATATTGAAATTCCTCCATGCTTGACGGACCTGGGATTTTTAAAGTTTTGATAACAGCATAAAAAACTGACTTAAGTTCAGCAAGGGCAACAAAGTTTGTTCTACCAATGTCAGTCTTGAGAGGAGCCTGATGAAGACGCACCAAAATCGTGCGTCTGAGGTAAAATGCAAGACATGTTTTCATCACAGTTAACACAAAAAATGTGAAATCTGTCAAGAATTAATGAAACAAAAATTAAAGAACTGATGACAGGCTATATTTTTCAAGGCATCAGAGTAGAGTAAAACAATATTATTGTTTACTATTACACAATACTTCAGCCGTGTGTGATTGTGGGAGTGTGAAAAATAAGGCTGGATAGGATGAGAAAAATACTTACTTAAATTAGAGGCACGTTTTTGTGTGTGTGTGTGTGTGTGTGTGTGTTAGGGAAATTGTATATATTTAAACACTTTTTTAAAGAAACAATCTTAATTAGGTTTTTTTTCTGTAAAATTCAGCACTCTCTTAAATTGACTCAAGTCAAGTTAATAACTTAATTAATCAAGTGAAATTAAAGCTAAGGTGGAAAGTATATTAGTATGTTTACTTGGCTTTATTTGAGTATTTTTATTTTCTGTTCCTTCACACCTATACCAAGCTCCATTTAAGAGGTATGTATTGTACTTTTTACTGTGCTACATCTATCAACAATTATAGTTATGACAGATATAGATTTTAAAGTTCATATTATCAGCTTATAAGAGATTGTATGTTGACAATGCCCTAAATATTTGAAAAAAAAAATAAACCATCAAACACCATATAAAGCTGTGAAATGGCTCCATATTGGCAGACTACAACGTTTAAATCCTGCTTATATATTATGTGAATATTATACTTACATATTATTTTTGAAATAACATGCTATAATATAGCCTAATACTCCATGAGTAGTAATACTTTTACATGACCTTAAAGGGTAACTTCACCTATTTACAGAATCCATACATTTTATTCTTATGGCCTAACTGGTAAAAAAAAAAGAAAAAAAAAGAAGATTTCTGCTCATTTAAATCTTTTTTTTTTTAAATCTTCGCCCAATCTGGACTTATTGATGTTTCCAGCATCTTGCCAAGACCAAGCCGGGATGAGCAGTAGCTATTCTGCATTCCTATGGCCTAAAACAGTCCAAAATTATTAGCAAAATTGAACAAGTCTCTTCCAAATCCAAATCTGTTATAGGGTGTAATGTTTGGAGCTGCTCCATAGACAATGAAGTGGGGGGGGTGACACTGAGAGCACCCAGGGGAGTGCCCTACAAATATGGTAATATTTTCTGTTTCAGAACTAAGAACACTATAATAGACTTAAGCTCATTTAGGGTATTAAAAAACATTTTGTGGGCCCACACAGAATCATTCATTATCGAACTTAACCTGGAAAACTGGCAATTTTCGCTGCAGTTCCTCGGCTGACCAGTAGGAGCGCTGTCGTTTAAATATATCATAGAAGAAGAAAGTCATGGCGGCTGACAGTTTGTAATGAGCCAACAAAAACAGACAAGATTCTTCCAAGTTGGATCTACAACGTTTAAACCAGGACCAGGGATAAAAACTCAGACGGCAAAATGCAGATAACTTTGAAAACCTTACAACAGCAGACCTTCAAAATCGACATCGATGAAGAGGAGACGGTGAGAGTTGAAATCATGCATTTGTGCAGGGGGTGGAGTGGGAGTTGGGTATGTCCTGGAACGGAGGGCTGTAGTTTTTGAACATGTACAATTATACGACAAATACATAGGTCTACGTAAACACTATAAATATATTAAAGATGGACTCACACTTCGGGTTAATACGACTCGTGTTTGACGCGGAGGTTGAGACAGAGTAGGGGTTTTTATTAAATACTGGACAGGAAAGTAGTTTGAATTGTCAGTATTTAGCCGTAGCCTACTTATGGTTTCAGATTGGTGCGGGGGGGCAAGGTAGCATACCGCTGATAAGCGTTTAGTGTTTGAGAAATAGTAGGTTAAGTTGTGAGAAATGAGTACAGTTAATTTTCTGTGAAATTAAATACAGTAAGCACCACAATGATGAACGTGGCAGTTAATTATTATTATTATTAATGTAATGTTATCGTTACTGATAGAGTTTAGCTAACCTGTAACGTTAAATAACGGCAGTGCAAACTTATGACCGTTAGTCACGTTACAAAACGGCACCAACTGTTTTATTTGGTGAAAAAAATATGTGACATTAACTTTATCAGACTGAAGCTTAATGGCTACTGTACATTTTAATAGGACTTTATATTATGCTTACGAAAGGCAGTTGTAACTTTAATGTTATTTTTGATTAGCTCGCATATAATAGCCAAGTAAGCTAGCAATAACTATAACGTTACAGCCAGCGCATAAACTTATGTTTAGATATACAACTAGCGCGGTTTTCTGCGGTAGTTCACCTGAAGGAGTCAGCAGTATTATGTCTGTTAAATTCCAGTTTTATGAAACACTTTACTCCAGTTTTATGAAACACACTTTGGACTTTATTTTAAACTCGTGCTTTAGTTAGGGTTGTGTGAAATGGTGGCGGGAATCCAGTTGTAATGTTTCACAAGGATCAAAAAGTGTCATGTTTTTGTCCACAGGTGATGACATTAAAGGAGAGGATTGAACAGGAGAAAGGGAAGGACCATTTTTCAGTGGGTGGGCTGAAGCTGATATATGCTGGTATGTTACAGACTGTTTTAACCCCTCTTAAAGGAATACTTCACACACACAGTTTCCATCATTTATGTTATGTTGAATTCACAAAGGAAGTAAAGGAGGACCAACAGCAAAACTATGTCAAAACATCTTCGTACAAACTCTCAAGCAATTTGTGCAGTATAATCCAAGTCCCATGTATCTAGTGCATGCTAAGTGCTAAACAGCATGTTGCATTGCCTTGCCTTCAGCCTTTCTGACCAGGACTGAAAGTTAATTTATCTATGCTTTCACTTTTATTCCCAGTCAGAAAGAGCCAAAGCATAGACTGTATCAATAATGGACATTCTGTGATGTCACCCGTTGGGTTGTGGGCTGCTGTTTTGAAGCCTTGAGTTTGACATTAAGGTCATCGCCATCTTGCATTTTCTTAATTTTTAATAAGCCAGAAGTGATTTTCTTTGGATGAGAAGATGGAGCTGTGGAGGAGCAAGGGGTGTATCTGATTCAAAGCCCTGAAACCCTAAGCTGATGGTCAGCTGTCGATCAAAGTTTGGCCATGGGTGAGCATCTGCTGCCCTCGTCAGTGCAGTATGTCCCACACCGTTGGCATCGGCACAGCGGAACCCGTATGCGAACGAAAACACTCTGGCTGGCAGTTTAGCTGAGCACATGAGAAGAGAAACGGAAATGAGGAATGTAAACAAAGAGGTAAAGTCAAGAGAGTGAGGTAGAAACAAACTTGTTATATGAGGTAATATAGAGTTTCTTTAGCCATTGAGTTCTTAGGCAAAAACATTTCGTGCTGGTTTGTGTTCATTGGCGCGCAGTAAATATGCTAGGTTCTTTCAACACTAGATTGTTTTAACACATAACTAGCATGACGATCTTCCAGTTTTCCTTTCTGAATGACAGTTACAGACAACCACTGTCTGCTGGTATGAAGGGGTGCGTCTTCTCACGCAGGCGCAGAACATACCGTTTGTTGGCCATCAGTTTGGTGTGTTCATGTTAGGGCTGGGTGGTATGACAAAATTTTCGTATCATGTTTTTTTTTTTAGCCGCTGCTAGTTGCATATAGGAGAAACACTGTTCTTTTTGGTATGAGTTCTTCTTGGTCATCGTGTTCTTCAGCAACGTGTACAGTTGCTTCGCTTTCAGGACTCTCTCCAGCAGCCATTCTCGCCTCTAAACTTTTCTCTATGCCCTCACTCTAGCCGGCTCTAGCCCACCTGTGGTGTGCAGCGGTGAAATGGGTCCCCACTGAAACACTTTCCCGCCCCGCACGTTGTTTGGACAATTCACCGGTATTGCGGTATATGAAAAATTCATATCATAACGAAAATAAGGACCGGTTTTCAGTACGAACTGGTATACTGTGCAGCCCTAGTTTATGTGCAACTTTTTTTGCAGAGACATGGCAATGGGGGCAACACAACAGCGGGCTCTCATCGCTGCGAGTTCTCTGATGTCAGTTTGGTGTGTCTGGGCCTTCGCAGACTGAAGCGATGCGTCACATGCAGCATGTCACTCAAGCAAAGCATATGACTGGATAAATGAGACTTGGATTATACTGCACAAATTGTGTGAGAGTTTGTAAACAGATATTTTGAAATTGGCTAGTTTTGCTGTTGTTAAATGTGGACCCCAACCTGTCAGTAAATTAAGATGTTCACTGTTTTCCATGGAGGCATAGAGAAAAACAAAGTGTTCTTTGCAGATTCAAGGCATGAATAATTGATATATAAATAATCATTTTGTGGGTGAAATATCCCTTTAAGTACTCGCACTTCTTGATAAGTACTTCTCACTGTCTTTATTATCATTTGATCGATGGTTAACTGGAATACAAAACACATCTAGAAATCCTCCCAAAATGCTGCATTGTTTTATTGTCTTAATTTACTGTGTGCTGCAATCCATATTATACTGTTTTTATCAAATAATCATCAGTAATGTGGATATAATGATTAAGTGGGTGAGCCTGAAGTGGGCCTACATTGGGTGCATCACAGTTTTCCTTTAATGGTTTACTGTAATGTAACATATCCTCTTGCATGTTGTATACCATACATGTAGTGGGGAGCGATACTGTAAGCAGTGTGAGAAAATGTTGTCAGTGTTCTCTTCATGATCCAGCATGAAAAGTTCAAATGCAGTTTGTTTTTGCAGGTTGTTCTACTCTTGTGTTTACAGATAAAACTGATGTAAACAACAAGCCTTAAAGAGGATCAGAAAAACCTTTAGTTTAAGTGTTTGTTGTTGTTGTCTGTTGACTGACTTGTAAGTAAATGTACACACACACGCTTTGCTCTACTTTTTTGAATAAATGTATCGTGTCCATGACGTTTTCGACCCTCTGTAATGCAGATATAAAAATGCAGCACTGTAGAGCTGGTTTTAATCTCCTGTTGCCAGTATTGCAAAGCCTATAGCAAGAAACTGTCAGACAAATGAAAATGTTAGCCAGATAACTGCAAAAACCAAAGCTTGGTTAATAAATGTATCGTGTCCATGACGTTTTCGACCCTCTGTAATACAGATATAAAAATGCAGCACTGTAGAGCTGGTTTTAATCTCCTGTTGCCAGTATTGCAAAGCCTATAGCAAGAACTGTCAGACAAATGAAAATGTTAGCCAGATAACTGCAAAAACCAAAGCTTGGTTAAGCAAGTGTTTCATGATATGACATGCGTGACATTTGTTTAAACAAGCATTGCTGTTATCTGTCTTTCAAAAGATAGATAAATCTTTGGGAACATGGGGAAAACTGGGTAGTAATTAAGATTTTTGTCAGACTCAAAAAAATTCCTGATTACACCACTGTACTTTGTCTTTTCAAACAATCAAACACGACAAACGCCCAAGGAGACTGAATACATTTTATAGGCACTGTGTATATTTAAGCTTATTGTAGCAATTTAGACTGTGGAGTTTTGTGTGACCTACTTATACACAATTAAAAACAATATAACAAAAAGAACCAGATGTGGTGACAAAAGCAGGCGATTTATCCCCTCAAAAGCTCTCTGTTCAATGATAAAATATGATACCATCTATTGTTACATGCCTGCGTGTTGTTTCAGAGTTCACGTCAGGTGAAGCCGAAAGCATTGAGACTCATTTTTCTGCTTCTTCACAGGTAAAGTCCTCAGCGATGACACAGCGCTCAAAGAATACAAAATTAATGAGAAGAACTTTGTGGTCGTCATGGTGACAAAGGTTTGTGAATGAGAAATTGTCTCAGTAAATGGTAGGTTTTGTTTGTGAAAACAGATTTTATGATTTTGTTCTCTTCTTTGTAGAACAGCAAGCCCATGAATGTTATGAATATGAACCGACACTGAGCTATAATGAGGCTCTGTAACCTTCTCTTTCCACCGCCAACCACTTATGTGTGTCTGTGGGTGCTGCAGAACACGCTCTCATGGTGCACTCAAACATGTAGCTCAGAGTGTGATCATTGCTGACTTGGAGTGGGGTCAGTATTGTCAATGCCTGGCTCTGGTTTACTCCTATATATTCCAGTGCATTGCAGAAAGAAGATAAGATTATCTCTAGAGATTGTCTTGTGCCAAGCGTGTGGAACTCCTAACATGACTTATTGCTGGATTCTGTATAAGATGGTCTGTTGTTGTCTTAATACTGTATTTCATAACTATTTTTCATGCTGGAGATAGAGAGAAGCTGTGTTTATCCTGCTTAAACCTTCCTACTGAAACACTTCCTGTAAAGTATAATACAGTAATGCTACAGGACAGTGTAGAGAAGGATGATTAGATTATATTTTCTTAATGCAGGGGTCACATACTGAAATAACATCACTAATTTTAATGAGGGCTTGATTTTACATTGGAAGAAATATTGATGGTGGTCTGTATCCGTTAACACATTATTTAAAGCCATGGATTTAAGGGCAAAAAAGACATGGTTTCAGCATCCCTAATTAGGAGGAAACTCAAATTGGTAATTAGAGTATGGAGGAAAGATCAAGCTGGCTATAGCTTCAGAATTCAAGTCTATCATGGCCTTTATTGGTGTAATTTAGGACAACCAAGAAGATTTTATTCAAGCAGACACCTCAAGATAAAATGCAAGAAGAGTGAGATAACATTTTTTTTTATATTTTAACCACTGTCTCGCAGCCTAAAACAGCCTCAGCCGCCCCACAGCCCTCACCTGCCACTTCAGCTCCCGCAGCACCTCCCGCCTCATCGTCTAGCTCTGAGAACACATCAGAGCGCGCCTCCACAGATGAGAAACCAGAGGAAAGAAGGTCTTCGACCGCTGAACCGGCTCCCACCCCTGTCGGGTAAAGATGGGTAGATGTTTGTCTTAAACTATCTGGTCTCAGCGCGTCTTCTTTTGAGAGGTGACGCGCAGATCACATCTCACCCAAGGTCTGTTTTCTCTCGCAGAAGCTCCGAGGCTTCAACAAACACAAACCTGATCGATGAGGCAGTTTCGAATCTAGGTAAGGCTGCATTTGTAAACGTCATTTGTCGGTCATTATTGTTTGGCATTTTGGATCTGATGGAAATGTAATTATGAAGCTGATGTCACAAATACCGCACCATTTGTTAGACAAAAATGACTTTTTGCCTCAGTGCCTTGAAGCTGTCTTGTGTGTTATACATGTTAGGCTTGGGCGGGTTCATACCTTCCTGAAATTTTACCAGGATATAAGGTATATAATGGTATTAGTGTGTAGCACAATCCATATCATGCTGACATAGATGTATCTTAACCAATAAGCAGCTCAACCAAAACATAATCCCACAGTTCCTCATGGCCACACAAAGCAGATCCTGCAGGACTTAATTATTATGACTTATGTGGTCATTGATATGAATTTTTAGTGTTTAATGCAGATTGTTTATCTTTGTGTATGCTAACTCCTAAAATGCTCTTCCCCTGTGTATTAAAGTTGTGCTCAATTGATATGTTGTTAGTTAATTATGCTGTCTTAATATTAAATTATAGTTTTTTGTGACCCTAAAAACATAAGTAGCATGTCCTCTGTTTGACATGATATTTAATGTGTCATTCAATTCTGTGTGCCATGTGACTGAGTGTTTAAACATTAATCATTTGAACATATATTAATGTCTACTTTCATGGTGGCCTTGACAGTTTGACACCCATGTTTTAAACCAAATGACTAATGCACATTTTTACACTCAACACTTAAACAGAGTTTGACATTAATTTGAAAATATTGGGTTATTAACAAATTAAAAGTATCTCGGCTTGAGTTCTTAATTTCCTGAAATGGCTCTGCAATGCTCTCAACAAAACTATGACTATAACTGTGAAGCTCTTTAGTCCCACTACTGATCTGTTTTCGTGTTTGTGTTCTTTACCTTTAGTGACAGGCGCATCATATGACGCCATGGTGAACGAGATGATGCTCATGGGCTACGAGAGAGAGCAGGTGGTAGCGGCTCTCAGAGCGAGCTTCAACAACCCAGACAGAGCCGTGGAGTACCTGCTTACAGTAAGGACAAACTTAAGTCTGTGGCTGTAGTGTCCTAGAGCAAATTGCTGGACTGGTACGTAACATATGACAGGTTAGACCTCTGTGTGGTTTGGGCCAATTACAGCTTAGTGTCCCCGCTCAGGTCAGAATCAGGATGTTAATATGCAGGTTTTAGTTTACTTGCCAGTGACATTTATGATGTAGTTATATGAATCTTCCACCCATGACCACTTCTCAAAAACCTTTGAGTTGCCTCCTGAATAATCAGAATCCTAAAATGTGTACATGACATGATGTAACCCACAAGCTTTAACTGAAGAGGACTACAAGTAATCCCGACTCACCCACATGACACCCATATGCTGTGTTTATTATATGTGATTCTTTCCCTAATTAATTGTTGTATTTCATGACTTTTCTTTCAGGGTATTCCCGGCAGAGATCCGGGCCACGCACCAGGACCTGATGCGGTGGTGCCCCCAGCGAGTGTTTCTGCTGCGCCCATAGGCGGTATTAGCCTCCCCACCAACACTGGCTCTTCACCAACTGCTGGGGGAGGTAAGTGTCCCATACTGTTCTGCATATTCCAGCAGACTCGGAGCAAATGTTTGTTTCTTTTATCATCTGTCTGCGTCTGTCTTCTCGTTGCTTAAACCAACATTTTCTCCTTCAGGCAATCCCCTGAGTTTCCTAAGAAACCAGCCCCAGTTCCATGTGATGAGACAGCTGATCCAGCAGAACGCCGCCCTCCTTCCCGCCCTGCTGCAGGAGATCGGCAGGGAGAACCCCGAGCTGCTGCAGGTGAGGGCGGAAGACCTTGACACAGTTCTGATTAAATGAGTTCACGGCTGTAAGCAGTGGAGTCACAGTTCAGTTAAAGGGGCACTCCACTGATATTTTACATTAAGTTCAGTTCACACATCAGGAGTGCTGCTCAGTCTTTGAAAAGAGTTGTGTAATGTCCTCTCTGGCTCTGGAGGGAGCTATCCCAGGGTTGTAAAAATATTATCTCAGGTTGGACTTTAGACTGTAAAGTTTTAACATGACTATGTCACAAACTGGAGGTGTGAGTCTGACTCATATTAGAGACTTAATGTCTGTCTCTTTGGAAGTCCCCCAAATTTATTTAAAAAAAGAAATGTTTAAATAGCAAGTATTATTTTTAGTTTTTGAATAATTCTTATCTTCAGTTCAGAGTTATAAACGCCAACATTCAATGAAGTTCCTGTGCCTCCACAGTCTACACCTAAACGCTTCATTTCCCACTTTAGGAGATCAGCAGCCACCAAGAGCAGTTCATCCAGATGCTGAATGAACCTAATCCAGAGGCGGGGCCGGCGGGTGATACACCCGGCGGGAGTCACATGAGCTACATCCAGGTTACGCCACTGGAGAAGGAGGCCATTGAGAGGGTGAGGAGGAGCACGACACTCGTTAACCTTTTCCTCTCAGTCCAAAGTTCAGTACTGCTTTACTATAAGTGCTGGAATGTAATGCACAACCCTGATGATGTTCTCAAAACCATCACTTTAATTTTTATATTTCACCAAGTGGTAAACATGAGGAACAAATTATAATTTGCTTATTTAAAGTATTGTTTGGCTAATTTGCAACTCTTGTTTCTAATTGCAGCTAAAAGCTTTAGGATTTCCAGAGGGACTCGTTATACAAGCCTACTTTGCTTGTGAGAAGAACGAGAATCTGGCCGCCAACTTCCTTTTACAACAGAACTTTGAGGATGATTAAATCATCAGTTTGACTTATTTCTTATTTCTTCCTCTACTTTTTGATTGCTACATATGTGTGTACAACAAGCCTTTTACATTTCCAAAAACAAAGTTTTATTCACCACTTCCACATTCACCTTTTGTTAATAACACTGGATCGTTATCAGCTGGTGTACAAGGACAGGTTTTTGTTTATCAGTTCGAAATGGAGGAACAATTAAAGTACAGTAACTTTGCATCAGAAATCACCTGTGTGCTATTGATCTTTTTTTTTTTTTTTTTTTTAAATACTTTAGTTAATCAATATTGTTTGCAGTATGTGTCACATTAAAGGTGAGGTTCAGGGTCGGTATTCACGCACTCTTATTCTTCTGTTTTTGAAGTTGACCAGTAAAAGATTTGAAAAATTAAAGTTGGGCACAACAAACATGTATGGCACTAGTTATTTTTCTATTTAACATCCATATCTGCATGTTAATCAACAGGGAATGTGGGCAGGAGCTGTTGTAATGTTATCTGAACTGCAAGGCATCATATGTGAAGGCATTGTAACATGTATATAGTTTACATACATGTGTTAGGGTTTAGTGACAATGTCATTTTTACAGAAAAATAAAAGTTTTCAAAATAAATGAAAGCCGTGCCTATTCTGCTGTGTTTATATGGAGTGTCAAGTACTCAAGGTAACACTTTCTGTAAAATAATGTTTACAGTTCTTTATTACATTATCAATTGATCCTGGTCCCAAATTATTGGTTGGTTTTTGCATCTTTTTTTTTTCTCTCTAGTAATTCTGTCCTCCAGACCAAAGTTATAGTTCCATAAAAATCAAACTAAGTTGTGAAAAAACAATTTAGATAAATAAAAACAAAAAATAGACTTATGTAAAAAAAAATAAATAAAAACAATTAAATTATTTTGTGCACTTACAAACTAAAATAAAAGTATGTACAGAAAATATCTTTAATTTTAGTTAGTCCATACAGTCAAATATGTTGGTACAAGCATGAGGAGGCATTGGTGCATGTTTATTAAGACTGGGATGTACATGACATGACAAACACCCCAAGTGTTGTGTTTGTATTGTTACACCTATTCTAAACTTCTTAAATCTGGCCCCTGGCAAATAAATACTGAAACTAATAATTTAAAAAAAGTGAAACTTACACTGGAAAATAACAAACTGAACTGAACTGAAAATAAAAATTAGTTAAAATAGAAATCTGTTGTTGTCTGATACATGATGTTACCACTATAGGGCAAAAAAAAAGGTAATGCACTAAATTGAGAGCAGGATCAATTCACAATGTCATACATACATGTAATTAACTAACAGGACTTAACAGAGAATAATTTGTCTTAATGTGAGCATCAGTGTCATCTCACCCACTCCTTATAGTTTGCACCTGTTAGCTTTATTAAAATTATTTTTAAAGGCCTAAAAGTCACTTCCCATAATGCTCTGCTCAGGAGTAAAAGTTGAATGACAAAGGCCTTGAGTGTGCTTGAAACTGAATTGACCTATAGGGGGCAACATAGACCACAACATGTTTCCAAAAGTGAACCGTAAGCTCAGTTTGCCAGCCTGAAGATGTGTGACCTGTATACCTGTATGTTTTTTTTTTTTATCTTTTACCGTGTATAAAGTAAATGTAGTGACAAATAAAGAAGCAGACTCAGCTGAAATACATATTTTAAGACCTTATGGCCCTTTTATGAATAGAATGCGTCATATAAAACAGGCAACAACAAGCTGATATGTTGTTGAAACCATTTGTTACGTTAAATAGATTGTAATTCTTTGCATTAGTCGCCTGTTAGTACTAGTTATTATATGATATTGCAGCATTGTGCATCAGAATTGTGGATCATTTGGAGATCATGCGCTCATAGTTCTTACTTTAAATCAATTTAAAAGTTGTATTACTTAAGAAAAAGAAGTGTCATCTTATTTTTACATGTTTCACTTTCCGTAGAACTGCAATTATGACTTATATTTTTATGATTTTTGAGCAGAAATACATTAAACATACATTAAAGCATATGCATTTATTAAAGTGTTATCATGAGCTTTACAAGGGGTTCCTATTAGTTTCATGTAAGTCATTGACACTGAGCCTACAGCAGGATTTCAAGAATGTACTTTAAATTTTAAACTCATGTAACTGTCATGTAGCTGGATACATTACATGCATGACGCAGAGACAGACACTATCTCACTGTAACATCTTCATGGGTTTTATTCATATGGTGCACCTGAGAGCGTCAGCTCCGGCACAGAGTGGCGGTCAGATTTGGTGTCACCTTTGAATGTCAGCCAGTAACTGGGTTGTCCTCCCCATTCTTCCCAGTGACAGATGGAAAGAGAACCCCATGGAAACAGGACATTGTAGGAGTGTACTTTTTTTGAGGATCTTTTTAACAGCAACATTGTGTTAGCTTGCCTGCGGCCATCTCGCTATTATCGTTGGGGGGGGGGGGGGGGGGGGGTATTGTGTGTGAGCTGACTGTTAGCTATCGCTGCCATTTAAACGTGCGTCTCCATTACACTTCCAGGAGGATCTGTGTTGTCTTGTTTTCTATGAGATAATAATGGTGAAGAGTATAAAGGTCACTGTCTTATTTCAAATACATTTTTATTTTATTATAGTGTAAAATACAAAACAATAACAAAGCATTTTATTTACAAATGTACAAAATTCAAGATTATATTACATATTTTTTGGCTATAAACAAAAAAATCTTTGTTCAGAGTTACTCATTCAATACAAAAATATGAATGTCTCATATAAATTATTGCACTTTGCAGCTGCAGTGCATTGAAGATTGCCATCACCATTTATAAGTGAAGTGTTCACCTGATTTAAGTCAGATTGTGGAAGAGAGGTTTCCGAGAAACACACAAACAACCGTATGGCACTTTTTCATAGTTTTCACCCTTTTGTATATTTTCCTTTATCTTTGGTACCTTTTCTTTGATTAAAAAAAAGCCTTCTTCAGAGTCACTGAGCACCATTCTGTATAAATTAACATTGTACCTGAAATTAATGGCATTGCAGGTGAAATGTGTATATAAATATAGATGTATTTATTAATACAGTATTTTGGACAGTGTGTTGATAACAGAGCCTACATTGGCATGTTGCTGGTTTAAGGCCTCTGGAGATGTTTGTCTGTTGCTCCTGGTTTCCCTGACAAAAATACATTTCCAGTTAAAAAGTCGTTGGCACCTGGTCCTCCAAGTTTTGTCGGTTAAATAAGACAAATTCCAGTTTGGTCCCTTTCATAAAAGTTTACAACCCTGACTGAGAGGTCCTTTCAAGTCGCCTGCACGACGTGCGAAGACGGGATCAGTCTTGAGAAGAAATTCTAGGCTCTTGAAGGAGTAATGCTGTTTTTGCCGTGAACACCACAGCTTGTCTTGTCGTTTGACAACGGCTTGAAGGCAAATTATGGTTTTTCAAAAAGAGTAGGTCACAAGTTTGTTCAGAGTTCTTGCTAACATATGTTCTTTTTTATGGAGCCTTCATCCATCGCCAAGTCTCATAAGTGTCTCTTCATATGGAGAGCAAGGTGGTCTGACCTTGAGAAGGCCCGGTCACATTTCTGACACTGAAATGGCCGGTGGCCTGTGTGTTTCCTGTAGTGCCGTGTGAGCTCGTCCGAACGTGCAAACTTCCAACCGCAGCCCTCCCAGTCGCAGTGGTAAGGCTTCTCCCCTTTGATGAAAACACAATACACACACATGGGGCAGTTAGTGCTGGCCCTGAGGTTAAACTGGTCCAACCTTCCCCGCCTCGAGGAGAAAAGAGGTCAGTCCTGTCCTACAGCTAGTGTATAAAGGCCACGCTAATGAGCCCGGAGTTTGTGTTTGAGCAGGGATCAGTATCAACCTGTTTCACTGCACCTGCCAAACAAGTCCCCTTCCCCATCCCCCACCTACCTAACCCCCATTCATGAGTCAATAACTCGCTGTGAAGTGCTTGTTTTGATGGTAATTAGCTCATGACAATAAAAACGGAACAAAACAACTGCATTAAACACCAACTAAAAAATAGAAACATGCTTCTTCTACCTGCAGCATTCAATCAGATATGAAAGACTTTAAGGAACATCTAACACGGAGTTACATACCTGTGTGCGTGCGGTGATGTGCTTTGAGGTGGGAGCTCTTTGTGTAAGTTTTCCCACAGCCAACGTAGTCACACGTGTGTGTGGCAACCCTCTTCCTCGGCCAGGAGCGCCTACCACGCTTAGGCTTTGGTTCCTCCGGCAAGCAGTCCCCACTGGAGATCATGAGGGGATCTGTGGGGGTCAAAAGATCGGGGTCATCATCATGTACAGAGAAAAGCTTCAGTGTGTACATGTAACAGATATAAAAGGTCACAGGTTGTCATGTTTGGCTCACAAGAGAGCACTTAGTTGCTTCAGATGCACAGCAGAATGTCATAAACTTTCAACTTTAAGATGCAAAAACCTTCAGCCTTCCTCTTAAAAACAGCCAATTTTAAAGAGCTTAAAAGAAAACTGTGTATTTTGTTAAACCGCTGGTAATGTCATCTTGTTTTTTGGCTGGTTTAAAGAACTCCATGATGAAAAGAGGTTTTGTTGTACAAGGCCATGTAGGTTTCAGTCCTTTTGAACTGCTGCTTTTCGGGATATAATTAAAGCCCTTAAGGTTGTATAAGATGTATTTAAATAGACTCCATGGACTTTATATTCCTGTTGTCTAATCTGTTCTGTTAGTCTGTGTGTTCTCTCCACATTTAAGCATTCAGTAGCTTCAAGAGATTGCAAGAAAGGATATAAAGAAGGTTGGAATAATAAGGATTGTGTTCTGACCTTGGTACTGCATGGAGGATGGCTGAGGGTAGGAGGTGTAGCCCTGCGGGGAGCTATGGTGATATCCCTGGGGAGGTAGAGGGATCTGAGAGTGGGGATGTCCCAGAACCTGGTGCTCCCGGCTCAGAGGATGGTCTGGGGAGAGGGAAGAGGATGAGGATAGCCTGCCGCCTGTCATGGGTCTCCCTCCGCCGGGGAAGCCGTGCAGCTCTAACTGGCACGGGCGCTGCTGCTGGCTCCCTCGGCCCTGGGAGTTCACCCCAGCCAGGTGTAGGTCCATGGGCTGCGAGATGGTGCAGTTACTGGGGTTCTCCTGCTTTATCCTGTGGCACGGAAAGGACGGCGAGGCGCGTGAAGCAGTCGGGTCCGACACGGTCGTAACGCAGGCCTTGCTCACGTTCACGGCTTGGCTGTATTCTCCCATGTCCATAGTTGTCTTTACCACGAATTTGCCGTGGAGGCTGGTGGGGTGGAGGTACGCCGGGTCCAACTCGGGTCTCATGAGCTCTGCCACGAAGCCTCCAGAAGGGGAGACGTCACTGATGTCTGGGATGGTGTAGAGCAGCTCACTGGCGGTGCCCTGAGGGGAGGGGAGAGGGTAAGACGAGGAGAAAGAGTTGGGGGAAGGAGACAGGGTCTGGGCAGAGCTGCACGCCATGGCCTCCTCCTGCTGTTGCTGCTGCTGCTGCTGCTGTTGCTGCAGAATGGAGTTTGAGAGAATAAAGTCGTAGTCCAAGTCCAGGTCAGGCTCAGTGTCTTTCTTGGACATGCTAGGGCTTGTTGTGCTGGT